TAAACCTCAATTGTAAAGTGATAGTGAGACTAAAAATCTAGCAACTTGGCCGGGGAGATGGCTCAGTGGAATAAGTGCTTCCCTGACAAGCGCAAGGGCCTGAGTTCAATCCCCGGTTCCGAAAAAAAAAAAAAAAATCTAGCAACTTAATTTAATAAAAGAGAAAACTGCATTAGTCTGTTCATTCTTAGCTAGTATGTTAACTGAATTGGATTATGAATGTAGTTCAGTTTAGTTTCATGTGTTATTAATTCAACATAATTTTGTTTACATTTAATTTATTAAATAGGTACTAGTAGTTTTACTCCATAACTTAAGGACAAAATAGTATATTGTAACATGGTACCGTTTTGGTAAAGACATTGTTCCATAGTGTCTATTATATTGAGATAAGTTGAATTTTCTGTCCTTTAAAACATGTTTTAATATTTAGTCTTTTTTTCTGTGTCCATCTTCATCAGATGTCTACCTGTATGTGTACCAGAGTTTGTGAAAATATCATCTTTTTTTCTGATAATGAATTTCTTATTAGAGTTTGTTCATTTTAAATGACATCTCAGGCTGACAAATGTCCTCATTTGTCCTTCACAGCTGGGCTTATAGCTGGGCTGTCTGGAGATTGAGAGCAAAGAAAAAAAGATATGCAGTATCTACAGTGCTTCTACAACAGTTTTATGTGTGGTGTGTGCTTTTAAGCTAACTAACATAAAAATCAATGAGTAACAGGTTTTAGGTACTATCAATACCCTTAGGGAAGAACTATCAGGACCCTTAGGGGAGACACTGGTTTGTTTGTGTTTTTTTAGTACACTCTGATGAAAATGCTCTAATTGAAGGGGGAAAACCCTTAAAATTGTTTTAAAGTTTTGAATGCTTTCACAAAATACCTCGTTGGGAAACAAAGCAACAACAAAAGGGGGGGGGACTACATTTTTCCCAAAGTGAGATACCATTTTTTTTGTTAACACACCACAAATAGATTATGTATATATTTGAAAAAAATTCATTAGAGACTGTATTTGTCGGTAGAATATTAGGATACTAACTGTTTCTAATTACCACCTGGGAAATTTTCAAACATAGTGGGTACTTTACAAATGAATGCTGGTTAAAACGGATATATTGCTGCACCTAGCTTACTAGCTGAGCTGTCTTTTCAAGAATTCAGTAAAGCTATCTGGAATCATAACTGCCAAGCCAAGCAGAAACTCACCTGCACTGGAGTCCTAAGATTTTGTGTAGCAATAAGCATTTTAATTAAAAGTTTCCCAGTTCCTAAATTTATCACTGAATCTTAACATGTGGTAGATTGAGCTAGCACATCCAAGCACCATTGGAGCTGTGGGGAAAATGTGGCTTTAAAAAAATAAAATGGATGGGTAAGCTGAGAAAATCCAGCTGTGTTTTACTTGAAATTGTGCTAATCAAAGTTCTTTTACTCCTGTTTTTTTTTTTTTTTTTTTTTTTTTTCTCCATCAGTGTATCTACTGTCATGTATGTTGGCTCCCCATGCCCATCCCTTCACTTTTGTCTTTCTTCATTTCACATAAGGATTAAGGGTAAAGCAATATAATACTCATTGGCTGTAGTAACAGAGGGCCTGTCTTGCCTTGTAGTTTAGCTCTGAAATAGGGCAGAAGCAGCAGATAATCTTGATCAGACCAATTCGATTTTTAACACTGACCTTGCTAGAGTGTATGTAGAAATCAACAGTGTCTGCTGACTTTAAAACACAAATGTAAAGAATGTAATGTTCCTTAATTAGAAGTAAAATTGCCCTCTGGGAAGCAGTTTCCTAATTAAATTTTAAAAATGCCATATTAGAGCTCTGAATTATAGTTCCATGGTGTTTGAGCTGATGGTATGGGGAGGGGCTGTCAGGGGAACAGGAAGAAAGAAAACCAAGGAACTCAAAAATATCCACTTTTGAGGTAGGATTAAATTTCTTGTTGAACACCATTGTCAGACTGGACTGGGAAAAGTTGCTTAAAACTTTTTTTTCTCCCAATAAGTCCACATTTTACTTTCCATTAAAGGAGTTAACTGCGGTGCCACAGGGCTGCTAAAACTCTGCAGTTAGTAGATCTGGGAAAAATCAATTCATGTGTAAGTACAGAAGGAGGTAAACATGATTTAGAGGAGACTTGGGGTTACAAATGCTATTATATCAAAATACTTGTACAGATAATGCCTCCCTCCTCCTTAAGACATTCCCAGGCTGTTTGATCTTCCTGTTTACTGTAATCTTGCCTCTCTGGGAATTACTTCTGTCTAAGAGATGCTGTCTTCCAAATACAGGAAGGGATTTATTTAGTCATTAGTAATATTGAACATTAGTGACTTTGGCTTTCAGTTCATATATCTATATACATATATTGAACAGTGGGAGATTCTGAACTAATTGAAATTTCAGTAACTAGGAAGAGTTTTGAATTAGCCAGGCAGGTGCTTATGCCACTGAGCTATATCTCTGCCCCCAAAAAAAGAATTTTTATTAAACATTCACCAAAGTAAGAAAAGATATAGAGACCCAATACTTTTTTTTTTTTTTGAACCGGGAATTGAACTCAGGCCCTTGCGCTTGCCAGGCAAGTGCTTATTCTACTGAGCCATTTCCCTGGCCCTTTTTTTTTTTTCACCCAATACATCTGTGTAAAATAATACCTAGAAATAGTAAATGAGGGCAAGTACTAGAAAGGAAACAACAGATATGAAAGAAAAATTGTGCTTGTAAGGTGCAATGTGGGAAATTCTTTCTAGTAGGAGGGAACATACAGTGAAACAAGCTGAAGCTTCTAAGATTTGTCCTTAGTAGAGTTTTTTAATGGGATTTTTCTCTCATACCAGCAATGCCTCAATTTCTTTTCTTCAGCCTTTGACTGAAAACTTCTAAAGAAAATGCATAGGAGTCTCACCAGTCCTTCCTTTCTGTTTTGAACGGTGATTTTTGCCATGTTTTCAGTGTTAGCAAAGCATGCTCCCTGAGTCTTCTCGCAGCTGCTTTTCCCTGCTGCCTTCCAGCTCTAATCTCCTTATAGGTGTAGCACCATGGTAACAGGCCCAGCCTAGAGCCCAGAAACCTTGTTTGTGTTACCGGAGGGGCTAAATGCAGCCTGAGGGAAGAGAAGACACTGTAGCTGTCTTGCCAGGCTGGGGTGAAGATGACTTCTTGTTTCGTTCCATTTCTGTTGAAGACTTGAATAACACCTGGAAAGCATTTACTCAAAGGTGGTATCGTTAACCAGAGGCAGCAAGGACACCATTTTCTATTGGTTTCTGTCGTCTAAAAAGAGAACTGCTTTCTGAGATATAGCTCAGAAACTGACTTGCTATATCGGAATATGTGGCACCGCTATGATTTGGGGTTGCACTGCCAGCTGGCTGTACAACTGCTTCATGTAGGTAGATATTTATTTTGTTTGAAATAAAATTAATGTATACTTCAGAAACTTTTCCTAGAGAATTTAAGAAGTAAAAGCCTTTCTACCTCCTTGTCTACCTCCTTCTATTTTTACTATGCCTTAATCTTGCCTGGTGAGAAGCTCACCCCAGAGCATGAGAGACATTTCTTTCCAACAACAATTGAGAAAGATGAGCTAGAATTGTTTTATATTTGCTGAAGAAAGATTATAGTATCCTTTCTCTCAGGTTGTGTAATTAAAAGTAAAAAATCTAGTGTTTTGTTATTTAAAATTGATATGCTGTATTTACTGTATGTGACTGTAAAATATCATTGCCTTACCCAGAACTGCAAAGGCAAGGAAGTACAGAGCTGATACATTGGGTGACATTTATCCTTTCTGTGCATAGTTTGCATTATCAATAGAAAATATAAATCTTGACCTTTTTACTTCAAAAATTGCTAAATTCAGAATACACATTTTTAAAAGTTTACATGAAGTTGATTATGTGTATGTGTTTAAAAAGGAACAGATTAAAAACCTTATTGCTTAAAATGTTACTTACTTTATAGAGTTTAATTAAACAATGTTAAAATGAAAACCAGTCTTTAGTGCTAGTACTCTGTATCTTATTACTTTATAACTTAATTGAATATTACTCTGGCATTAAGTATTCCATTCCCTTTAATGTTATCTTAGTTACTTCAAGGAAATGATTGTAACTTCTTATTTAATGTATTTTGTAACAAATGTCTTTACACAGACATTTTTTTTTATCCTTTATAAATACTTCTTGAAATACATGTATTTAATCACGGGTATTTCAGTCAGTAAATACTATAATTACTGAGTAAAAATGCATAGCCATCCTATTGTAGACTCAAGAACATTATGCTAGTTCTTTCAAGAAGAAAGTGACAGGAGTCATGATTCCCAGCCTTCTTTTTTAAACAGTGAGGAAATAAAATCAGCCAGATGCTGGTTTAAACAGTGTTGACAAAGATTGGTTCTCTATGAGAATTTGACATTTTTTCATGAGTTTCTTCAAGGCATTTTATTCTGTATGGATATTTATACTGAATTTCATAGTGAGTCTTTTGATAAAAAGTTTGAGCTTGACTGTGTATGTGGTTTCAGTCAGTACAGAAAGAAACAAAATGAGGATTTAGCCACATATTTTGTCAGTGACATGAGGATAAGGCTGTCACATAAATAAATAAGAAATAACATGTCCGTTGATGATATGTTTGTATAAAAAATTATTTGTAAGATAAGCTAGAACACTGTAGTACTTATTTTTCCATTTTCCAGTATAGGAATGAGTCTAAAATAATGTTTGTAAAGGCGTTTTAGACTCTCTTGAGATGAGTAAAAATTACTCTGTTGTCATGCTGTGTTCAAAAAGATTGTGTTTCCATCTATATATGTGTATAGTTAATATATTTCATGTGACTATAGTTACTATTATTATAGATTATTAATTAGTCCATTTATTTTTTTACATTAGGCATTTGTACATTTGTTGTATCCTCCACCGCAATTAGCCCTTCATTCCCTTGTTGGCCAGGTAATAATACCTTAAGTATCTTCAATTTATAGGTCTCGTGGGCTACCTAAATTAAAAGAATCACGTTCCCATGAATCTTTGCTCAGCCCATGCAGTGCAGTGGAATGTCTGGATCTTGGTAGAGGGGAGCCTGTGTCAGTGAAACCACTCCATAGTAGCATCCTTGGACAAGACTTCTGCTTTGAGGTAAAAAATGTAGAAAGAAGAGAGTAGTTAACAATATTTTTTCTATTGCAAGTAATTTGGTGATTTTATTGCTGTTGCATTGTCAATTACATTATCTTACACTTGTTTTCACTTGCTGAAAAATAAGGAGGAAATGTGAAATCTAATTATATTTAAATATAGTTAATATAATATATAATAATTTAAATATAATTAATCTGGCTGTTTTTAACCAAAGTTATTAATGATAGCATCTCAGTTATTTGACCTTGTCTGCTTTCCCCAAAAAACAGATACTTACTATGTTGTCAGCAGAGGCACAGACTAGCAATAGTTTACTAAAATTTTTTACTTTTTGGTACTGATAAATGATCTCACCTACTTTGTAATATGTTATTATTTTTCTACTGGACCTCTAAGGCCCCAATTTTAACATTATTTTGAGAAATAAATCCAAAGACTAATTTTTCTGACTGCAATAAGAGCAGAACGGGTCTTTATTTCTATAATCCCTGTTCCTGTCCTAGCCCATAGTATATTACAGGTGTCTAATTTCTTGAATGAACAAATCGTCCGTTACCAGAAAATTATGAGTATCACTTTTTGTAAGGTCATTACTTCCTCCCTTATTAAATGTATACAATAGGCTGTTTACACATTACATTTGAAAGCCACACCTGTGTGCAAATAGTAACTAAGAGAGAGTCCTAGGTTAGATGTTATAATTTGTTTCCAGAAATATGATGCAACCTATGAATGAAATTTTTAACTCAAATATTGCAACACGTAATATAAAAATTATCAGTATTTAACATTTTAATACTAAGTATTCAAAGCAACATTTGCAGCACATTTGGGCTAGTCAGGATTCAGGTACTCACTAGTCCAATGAGACTTCCATAGTGAACAAAACATATAATCTGTTCTAGTTTATTGGATTTTTTCCCCCAACGGGTCTCGTTATGTCATTCAAGCTGGCCTTGAACTCACTTTTGTCACTTAGGCTGGCCTCAAACTCATGGCAATCTTTCTGTCTCAGCCTCCCAAGTGCTAGGATTACAGGCGTGTGCCACCATGACCAGCTGGTTTATTGGATTATGACCCAAGGTTGATTTAATATATGAGTAGACTTTGGCAATATGGGCAGGTCATTGGTACTCTTTTTAATAAAAATCACTTTCCTTATTTGTGGAACTCAATTCAATAGACGACATACTAAATATCATGTATCTTTTTTATTTATTGTGTGCCATTTTTTAAAGGATAATAATAATAGTGGTTAGGCTAACATAGTAAAGGACTGATAATCAACAGGGTAGTTGCCTAGTGGAGAGATGAATTCCAAAGACAGTAATTCAGCACAGTTAACTTTTCAATGTCTTTTAGCAGCCTTCTATAATATCATAATGAAGGGAGTCTTGAGGAATCTTTTTTAGAAACTTTTCCATTTTTGATCTTTTTTATTAATTCAGAATTGAGTTTGTAGTTAATTTAAGATGTGGCCTGGAAGGTTTTTGATTTTCATTTTTCTGAGTCATAAGCCAGCTGACTTCTAAGTGGCCTTTATTCTTGTACCTGGAAATGCAAATGGGTGCTATATAGAGAAAAATACTAAAGAGCAGGGATAAATTTAGATGTCACAAAACTAAGATCATTTTAGATTCATTCATTCATTTCTGTTCATTTAGTATGATTTGAATTAATAACATGTCCCTAACTTAAATGATAAAATTAAGAAAATAAATCCCCAAATCTTTTATTTCCTTTTCATTATTTCTAATCTTTATGTTGAAGGTCACCTATTTAAGTGGAAGTAAATGCTTCAGCTGTAACTCCGCTTCAGAGAGAGATAAGTGGATGGAAAACCTGCGAAGGACTGTTCAACCAAATAAGGTAATAGTGGCCTTGAATATCTAAAAATGTATCATTTTGCAAAGAGTAGGTTAATAGAAGGTAAATATAGTGGTAATATCTTAATTTTTAAAGAGCTGAACAGTTTTAAAATATATTTTATTTTAGGATATTTTATACTAAAAATAATCTCACTGTGGCTATTACTATGAATTTGTCAATGTAGGTAAGAAAACTCAGAAAATTCAAGTAACTTATACATGTAAGACACTACTTCATGATAGAAAGGGGAATAGAATACAAGTTTGTTACCTATTTTTATACTTGTAGGAAAGTATTTCATTTGTCACTAAGTTGGCTTCAAAAGATTTACTACAACTATGATGACATTTCAACTCAAGTAAAATAGAATGTATGTGGTTCTCTAAAGTTCTGATCCATTTTTACTTGCACTCAACCCTTTTCATTATGTGTCGACTCCCTTTCATTTTAGTACATAATCAGCATCACGTTAAGTGGACGTGTTCTCTTTCTGGAATGTTGGCTTTCAAATTCAACTGTGTTGCCTCTTTATAGGACAATTGCAGAAGAGCTGAAAATGTTCTCCGTTTATGGATCATTGAAGCCAAGGACCTTGCCCCTAAAAAGAAATATTTCTGTGAACTGTGCCTTGATGATACCCTCTTTGCTCGTACAACCAGCAAGACCAAAGCAGACAATATTTTCTGGGGTGAACATTTTGAATTTTATAGCCTTCCACCTCTTCATAGCATCACAGTTCACATTTATAAGGATGTGGAAAAAAAGAAGAAAAAAGACAAGAATAATTATGTAGGACTAGTCAACATCCCCACTGCCAGTGTTACTGGTCGTCAGTTTGTAGAAAAGTGGTATCCAGTGAGTACACCTACACCCAACAAAGGGAAGACAGGAGGACCTTCTATTCGAATTAAGTCCCGTTTCCAAACTATCACCATTCTGCCTATGGAGCAATACAAAGAATTTGCAGAATTTGTCACCAGCAACTATACCATGTTATGTTCTGTCCTTGAGCCAGTAATTAGTGTGAGAAATAAAGAAGAGTTGGCTTGTGCCTTAGTGCATATTCTTCAAAGTACTGGCAGAGCCAAGGTAAGTAGGAGAGGGAAACACTTGTGTAATCTAGAAACTCTTCCTTATCTTTTACAAAGAAATAATATATGAGTACTGTGGAGATCCAAATTAGAGAAGTTACTTTGCTTTTGGTCACAGAAAGAAGAAAATTTTAAGAGGGAAGCCTATTAGCAGACCCAGAATAGATGAGGATTATAAAACTAAAGAAGTGGCTGAATGTGGTGTGGTGTGGTGTGGTATGGTACACACTGGTAATCCCAGCTATTGGGAGGCTGAGGCAAAAGGATCACTGAGAGTTCCAAACAGCCTGTGCTGCATAGTAAGTTCAAGGCCAGCCTGAACTATATAGCAAGACCCTGTCTCAGAAAAAAAGAAAAAACAAAAACAAAAACCTAAGGTAAAATGGAGAAACCAACATTCATTAAATTCAGTATATTCAAATTCTTTTAATTCTAGGGCAGTGATGAACCTTTTAGAATTTTCATTGATACAAATGGCCTACAGTTGTGTGTGTGTCATAGGTTCTCTACCATTATTCTAGGGCATTATGTGATGGTTTTCTGCCTTCCTGTATTTTAAGATTAACCAATGGCACAGAAGGAAATATTCAAGAAACATGCTGTGTATTAGCAAGATTCATCATGGGGTTAAAAATCTATATTTGGAGTAAAAATAAAAAGAGATGTTATACAGTTGGTAGCTGTTTCATGATAGTCTTATATCATTTTATCCTGGATAAAAGTAAAAACTCAGGAAGACAGAAAAAGAGAAATATACTGATTATAGAAAGAACATCCACCAGTTAATGGAATATTTTACTTACGAGATGTATTTACTTTGCTGAGTCTCCAGTATATTATAAGCCAGCTGGCCATGATAAAATTGAATTTCAGATCCAGAAATGCTGACACCTACAATAATTTATTTAGAACCAAAAAATAAAGTACTATTAAAATTTCTTGATATAAATCATAAGATATAACATATCATAGATATATTATCTATTTGCTTCCTTATCTGACTGCCTTCTTATTGATTATAATTTTTGTGCTTGAATTTACTGAAAATAATCTTGAACTTTCTGTCATTAAAAAGCTTAAGATTTGAGGTAAGATATGATTAAAATTTTGAGTCTCATCTTTGAAATTTTGGTATGTTTTCTTTCTGCTTTCAGTTCCTGCAGGTTCAGGGTGTCCATAAGAGTTTATTGAAACAATTTAATTGATTAACATACAATTTACCTACAATATACTATAGCAACTAAAAGTGGAGTTCTGTTAAGATATGACAGATTATGCACCATTGAAACCATCATCTAAATCAAGATACAAAATGTTTCCATTACCCCCAAAATTCCCTCCTGTCCATTACCATACTTTTTTTTGGGAGGGGGCAGTACCAGGTATCAAAATGAGGATGCCACTGAGCTATCTTCCCAGTCCCCATTGCCATTTTTTTTTTTTTTTTTTTTTCAGAACCAGGGATTGAACTCAGGCCCTTGAGCTTGCCAGGGAAGCACTTATTCCACTGAGCCATCTCCCCTACCCCTTCCATTGCCATATGTTTTAATAACGATTTCTAGGCCCATAACTCTTACTAGACTATTGAACTGCTCCAGTGTGAACCCATTAGTGTATTAAATGCTTAAGTATAAAGTATGTAAAATCTGCATATTGCCTGTTTTAGTTTTTAAAGACCTTAAAATATCTAGTAAATATATAATATTCAAACTATATAATGCTATCATATTTCAAGCCAAATGACATTAAACATTGAATTTTACTTCAAGTTCTTTTGGGACTTTTGAGGAATAAAGAGGCTGTTTCTTCAGAGATTTATTTCTCCTTATATGATTTTCTTCTCCATGGGTGGATAAGGAGATGGATAAATAGATGAATGGATGGACAGACAGATGATAGTCAGCCTTGAAAATGGTTTCAACTGATGTTGAGGAAATTCAATGTTGATACTATAAGCCAATTTGTAACTGTTATGTATTGAATATTAATTCATGCCAGAAATTGTTAGATGCTAGAGATATGTCGGTAACCAAAAATTGATATGCCTTAGCTTTGTCAGACTTGCATTTTTCTGGAGGAAATAAAAAAAATCCATGAATCAAAAGACTAGCGGAATAAATGTGTGATTGCAGTGAGAAGTGTGAAGGATAAAACGATAGCTGGTATTATGGGAGCATGGAGCAAGCAGACCTGACTTGTGGAGTTGATGGGCAGTGTTGGTCAGAAAAGGCTTTGCTGGGGAAATGATATGTGAGCTAAGAGCCCAAAGGTCCGAGGAATTAGTTTCCTGACACTGGGAGTAGGAGTGTGGGAGAGGGTGGAGCAGAACTGAGCAAGGGGCTTGGTGCTAGAGAAAGAATGTTGTATGTATAAAAAGTGACTTGTGTAAGAGGGAAAAAAAGGCCCCAAAGTCTAAAGTACAATGAAAAAAGAATGTTACTAGATAAAGCTAAAAAGCTAAACAGAAACCAGGAAATCTGAAGATCAGAGGCTACACTCAGAATTATGCCCTTTTTCAAAAGTACAGTGAGAAACCTTTGTAGGGTACTGACGCATAGGGTTTCTATCTTGACTTTTTTCTTTCCAGTTGAATCTGGTAGCTTAACTTTTAAAGCAGCATTCTAGACTCTTAAAGCAGCATGATATTTGATATTTCAGTGTTATTATTTATTCATTTGCTTTCTGCTTGGTCGAACGTTATTCTACCAGGATTTTCTGACTGACTTGGTGATGTCTGAGGTGGATCGTTGTGGAGAGCATGATGTCTTGATCTTCAGAGAGAACACCATTGCCACAAAATCCATTGAAGAATACCTCAAGTTGGTGGGACAACAATATCTTCATGATGCACTAGGTATGAAAGAGAAAAATACCTATTATATTTTCTTTCCCTTTTATTTTTCACTTAATTCATGCTTATGTGACAAATTGAGCTCAAACTCTCCATGTTATTTAGTTCGGTTCACTAGAGTCTGTGGGTTTAAGTTTCAGCTATAATAGGCTCCGTACTACTCTCCAGTAGAGAAACAATATTTTATTATAGTATGCATGGAAATAGCATATACAGCTTTTATAAGAAAGATATACAGTAATAGGAGTGGATATCACTAGTAGATTGATGAAGCATGTTTCCCCTAAACTGTTGAGCAATTCTATCATAATACAAATATATTACTAAAGTCTTGAAAAGTTTAACCTAGTATTTGGTATCATGCATGCAAAACTAGTCAAAAGTAAAGAAACTGTTGGGACCGGGGAGAAGGCTCAGCACCAAGCCCCTTGCTCAGTTCTGCTCCACCCTCTCCCACACTTCCCTGGCAAGCACAAGGGCCTGAGTTCAATCCCCGGTTCTGCCAAAAAAAAAAAAGAAGTAAAGAAACTCTTGCCAATTCCCACAGCTCCTAATTTCTGCTTTGCAAGGTCTCTAAAACTTTTTTAACATTATTAATTTGAGTCCTATTATTAGTTCTTGGAGACTAGGCCTCTCATAGTTCCACATTTGGTCATTAATTCAGTCATTAATACAGAATGCATTGTACTGACCATTTTTATTGTAGAGCAGATTTGAGTTCCTTGAAACGATTAAGTTTATTCCTTTTTTCTGTATTTCACACAGAATGTCATGTAGCACTGTCTTGTATAAACATAATATAAACCACATGAGTAATTTTGTGTGGTTACTGAGTAATTTAAATTTTCTCATACACATAATATAAAAAGGATGAAGTAAAATCAATAGATAGCGCATGTATTTTTATTTAACCGGATGGTGTCCAAATTTTATTTAAAAACTAATCAATGTAAGAATTATTAAAGAAATATTTTATTTTTATAGTCTGAAATGGAGTGCATATTTTGCAGTTATCGCACATTTTGTTTTGAACTGGCTAAATTTCTACTGCTTAATAGTTGTATGTGACTGTCAAGTAGATTGTAAAGGTATGTTGAATGCCTGCAGAGTTTTTTTTATTCTCAAGTTTAGGATATAAGGAAGTAGGAAAGGATTATCCCTATAACCAAAAGGAGATAAATCCTTTGTTTTCTCAAAGAATCTTTAAAAATTAATTCCAGCTTGATAGACTTCCCAAGTTTCATGTCAAAAGATGCTTTGTTGTATGTATCGCTTGAAGGGTAGAAAGATAATAAAACAGACAGTTGGGCAAGGATAGTAGTAGGAATTGGGGGAGGGGCGGCACTTAAACAAAGAGCACAAGCATAAGCAAAGAAGCATAAACTAAAACCAGGCATAGATGGAGCAAAACCTTTTAGTAGAAAAATGATACAAAGAAGTAAGAGAACAACAACAAAAGGTTAGAAAATAATTAGAACCAATTTTTTTTAAGCCTAACATTTTGAGCCCCGGCACCACAAGCTATGTCACTGCTCCCACCCACCCCCCTCCCCCGTACCCTGAGCCAGCCATCTAGACCAGGCATGATGGCACATGCCTATAATCCCAGTGCTGGGGAGGCTGAAAACATGACCACTATGAGTCTGAGCTGCATATTAGACCCTGTACCCAATGCATTTTTTAAAAAATTAAAATAAAAAAAGAGAGATAGGCCCATACAAATAATAGTCTTTTAAAAAAGGGAAATGACATTTCCACCTCACAGATACACAATTTGAATTTCTGGTAGGGAATCTCAGGGATTGTAGGTATGAAAAGCTAGACAAGACATCTGTTCTAGTTGGCTTTTAAACATTTGTGACTAACTTAACCCATTTGAGGGAGTTACATGAAGCTATGAGATTACCAGAGCAAGAAAAAAATAGAGCCAAGGACATCTTATGGTTTACCTGGGTTTGTGGTTTTGAAGAAAAAAATCAGGAAAAATGCAAAAATGAAAGAAAACCAGGAATTGTAGTTATCAGAGTCCTAGATACCAATATAGAGGAGAATATCAAAAGGCAGAGGGGTCACAGGTGTAGCTTGATGGTAGAACATATGTTCAGCATGCATGAGGCCCTGGATTTGATCCCTAATGTCAAGAGAAAAAAAGTGGAGAGGACTGACAAAAGGTTCAAGAAAAAAATGATTTAAACATAAAATATCATGTCTGCATCTTGTACAGCAACTAACCACTAGGAAGAATGTATGCAATGTGTTAATTATTGAAACTGTCTTACCAACTTGGTTTGAAACTGTCTCATTGCTATTTGTTTCTCAATAAAATTATGGGGAAAAAATTTTAAAATAAACATAAAATAACCAAAAGTTGCATATTTTTCATTAATTCTTATAAGATAATATAACCGGAAATACAAAAATGACAATTTTATCAAGTTTATTCAATACTTGAATTGACTAGGTGAAATGACACCTGCCTGAGCAGTGCTGAGGATAGTCAGTACATAAACATGCTGCCCAAGTGACACTGAGAGTTCACTGTTGAGTGGCTAAAGGGATAGGCTTTATGAACAGGACGCCTAAGCTAAATTTTTATGGAAAAGAATTTAGGAAGTAGATAAAGAGATTTGCAGCAATTCTGAACTAGATTAAGTGACTATTTCTACTATAAGAGATAAGCCATAAGCCTTGCTTGTATCTGTTTGGCATCAACATTAGATCCTAACACCTTATTTAAGGAACTATTAAAGAGAAGTTTAGGTTGTTTGTTTTGCTAGAATAGCATAATAATATTCCTGATAAAGTTTTTTATCAAATTATAAGTTCATGCTAATTAAATATTTTTAGTTTCTGATAAGACACTTTATTGTTTAAGTCATTGTTGCTAGTTTTATAAATACTATAATGTTGATGTTACTGTTATCCTATTTCCAAAGTAAGGAAAATAAAGGTGTTGTTGTGGGGTATGATAATTACTGGTTCCAAACCAGTGAGACAACTTTGTGGGAAGTCTTTTGCCAAGTTTGTCACCTCTATGTCACATATGAGAAAAAGAGTTCCCTATTACACACTTTAGGACAGAAATCAAAAATCCTTTTATTCTATTCAGGAAGACACTATATACACTATTTATAGTTATACTGCCTATCATCTTGTCTGTTCACATAGGGGAGTTCATCAAAGCTTTGTATGAATCAGATGAGAACTGTGAAGTAGATCCCAGCAAATGCTCATCTAGTGAGCTGATAGACCATCAGAGCAATCTAAAAATGTGTTGTGAGCTGGCTTTCTGCAAGATCATCAACTCTTACTGGTAAGCTGGTATCCATGCTGAACCTTTAATTATGATACTAATGTTTTTCCTTATAAACATTATTGGATTGTCCCCAAAGGACTTGGGGAAAAAATTGAAAGTTTCCCTAAGTCTCCATTCTAAGCAAAAGTACTTCCAAATTGACTATCTAAGTAATGTTTCCCATAGTGTTACTACTGCATTCTTTATTACCCAAAAGTATTTTTCTAGCTTTCTAAAATATTTACTAGTGTTGAACAAATGCATTCATGAATTTGATCATTGCCCTATCCCTTGTAATTAGTCAGATTTTGGAAGATTTTTGATGAACAATTTTTAGAAAGATTATGGTGAGCTATATTAAACAGATGGTTTAGTCAGGAGCCTCATACCATTTTCCAACTTTGCAAAACTAAATTTATACTAATCTAGGGTTTTATAGCTTTCAGTTTCCAGGCTCCATCTGGCCTTTTGTGAATTTTCCACCAGCCCTCAGACATGAGTTAGGCACAACGTCCTCCCTAGGTATGTACTAGGTTCTCATGGTTTGGCTGTAGAGCAGAGGTTTACTGAATCAGAGTGGAATCAGTTGTGCTTTTGTGTGTTATAGTACTTTTATATTTAGAGGTTTGAGTATCTATTTCCCTTCTCTAGTGTTTTCCCTCGTGAGCTGAAAGAAGTATTTGCATCATGGAAGCAGCAGTGCCTGAACCGAGGCAAGCAAGACATCAGTGAGCGGCTCATTAGTGCCTCATTGTTTCTCCGTTTTCTTTGCCCAGCCATTATGTCTCCCAGTCTTTTCAACCTTATGCAGGAGTATCCTGATGACCGTACGTCTCGGACTCTAACTCTTATTGCCAAGGTCATTCAGAACCTGGCCAACTTTGCCAAGTAGGTGATGTTACCATACCAACGTAACACATAGTTCAAAACATATGTGAGGCCTCATTCATAATATATAAATCTTGGAAACAGCCCATATTAATCAGCAGATGAGTGGATAAAGAATATGTGGTATTCACATATCATTGGAGAACTACTCTGCCATAACAAAAGATAAGCTTGAGTCATTTGTAGGAAAATGGACTCATCTTGAGACCAGAATGTTAAGTGAAGTAAGTCAGACACACAAGCTTAAATTATCATGTTGTTTCTCTTATATGAGAAACTGAGTAAAGAGAAAAAGAGCAAAACAAAAATATAGACAGTTGGGAGTTGGGGGCAGATCAATCTCAAAGGGGAGAAGGATCAAGAGATGGAGAGAGTGGAGGAGAAGAAGCAATACGGAATGAAAAAAGAAATTGGGATATGTTGTGTACATGTCCATTCAAGGAATGTAAACATTATGTACAAAAACAAAAAGAAAGGGAATAAAGAGGGGGAAGCAGGGAAAAGGGAAAGTAGGAATTACAGTTCCATGAGAAATGTAAACATGTACTACACACATGTGCTAATAAACTACAAAAAAATGAGGCTTAATATATAGATGGGGCATCATTTGTGATACCATACTTCTACTGTGTTGGCAATAAAAATTAAAAAATAGAGACAACCTAAATCTTAAACAAAAGATAGTACATATTTTCTGTTGAATATATATATATTCATATATTCAAATTCAATAGGAAGTGTGTATCACTTAAAACAGTTTTAACAAAGAACATCCAGCAATACAGGAAATAAAAAATACTAATTAAAAAACAGGATAAAACAGGGTAGATGCTATTATTCTAGCAGTATAAAAACATAAAAATAAGTATAAAAGGATTAGGAAGAACACTCTGACAAATTGTACTAGTTACATGGTCTACAACAACTAGCCTAGTCACTTCCTGAAAGATATTACTAAAAATGCATATAAGAGAAATAGATCCAAAGACCTGATGCAATACTTGAAAAACACTTGGATCTTGAAACTGGAGCAAAATAAAATCTCAAAAAGTTATTTGGGAGATGATTATTGGAATATAAACGTGGACTACATGTAAGATGATTCATGAATAATGTTTTCAAAAATGTTAGTGCAAAAATGGCATTGGTTTATGTAAGAGATATTCCTTAGTCTGAAAAAATGGGTGCTAAAATATTTAGAGATGATGTCTATAACTTAATTTAAAATGGTTCAGAGAAAAAAGCCCTATGTGTATATATATATATATAAAGAATGAAAGCAACCTTGGCAAAATGTTAGCATTTGGTTAATATAAATAAAAGGCATATGGTTATTTCTTGTATATTCTTGCAACTTCTTCATAGGCTTAAAATTTTTTGAAAGAAAGTTAGGAGAAAGCAAGTGTACCAAATATGTTTGCTAGTTGAATGGGGGCACCCACACTTTTTTCTTTCCACTTTTCATTGTTTCCATCATTTTTTTTATAAATTCCTATTTTTTTATAATTTATAGAAAGTGATTTTAAGAAATAGAGAAAAATTCACACTTTGAAACTTCATCACATGTGCCGGCCAGATAGCTCAGTGGATTAAAGCAACTGCTTAGGCAGACACAGAGACCAGGGTTCAATTCCTAGCATGCCGTGCCGGCCCCATCCTGAGAGCACACTGAGCCACAACTGAGACTGGGCGTGGTGGCTTACCCCTGTAATCCCAGCGCTTGGGAGGCTGAAAACAGGAGGATCACTACAGGTCGGATCTATGTAGTAAGACCTTGTAGACCCTGTACTAAATACATTTAGGGAAAAAAAAAGTTTCTGTTAGCAATATATGGAAGAACAAACTAGAACTTCAATAAAAAAATTGTTTTCTAGTATTTAAATAGTGTCAATTTTTTAGAAATAGACTATTTTATTCTTAGGCATCCAGTACAGAAAGACATCTATTTGCTCATTTTGAGTTAATTCTAATGAAAATTATTTCTAGTTTATCTTGAAACAAGTTTTATAGGCTTAAATTAGACCCTGACAACTGCTAGAATCGTAATAGGCAGAGAATAGTTATTTTCTAGTGGAAATAAAGAGCATGAAGCATGAACAAAGGATTGGAAAAGAAAATATAGTACAGTAGTCTCCCCTTATCCAAGGTTTTGCCTTCTGTGAAAGTCCAGACATAAATAATTCTAAGTTTAAATGTACATGTCCTTTGGAGTAGCACAGTGAATTTCATGCTACTCAGCTCTGTCTCACCATGACATGAATCATCCCTTACGTGCTGCCTACCTGTTAGTAGTCATCTTGGTTTTCAGATCAACTGTTGAAGCTGTCGCAATGCTTGTGCTCAAGTGTCTCCTATATTAATAATGACCCCAAACCTTAAGAGTAGTGGTGCTGGAAGTTCGGGAATGCCAAAGAGAACCTTAAGACGCTTCCTTAGGGAAAGGGGACGTTTATGATTGGTATATATTTATGAGGAATAGCATAGTATGTGTAGTCTTATACTCTCCACAGTTCAGACATCTGTTAGAGGTCTTTGTATATAAAGTGGTTGGGTTAAATACTGTATTATATTTGGGAGACTTTGAAGAAGCTACCAAGGTTGAAATTCATGCTAGTGAACATTTAATAGGTAAGTAAAGGCTGCTTTATAGATAGCTTTAAATACTGAGGATGGCAGTGGGGAGTGAGCTTTAGTTTTATCCTACAGGGAACAGAAAGCTATTCAAGATTTTTTGCCACTCAGGAGGGTGAGGCAAGTGGATCAACACAAGTCTGAGGCCAGTCTGTGCCACATCATCAGTCCAGGTCAGCCTGAACTACATAGTGAGACCCTATCCACCACCACCACCCCACAAAAAAAAAAAAAAAAAAAAAAAAAAAAAAAAAAAAACCAAATAGGATGCAGGAAAAAATAATTCAGTATCTGCAAGATCGGAAGAGCACACGTCTGAACTCCAGTCACGCCGCAACATCTCGTATGCCGTCTTAAAAAAAAAAAAAAAAAAAAAATCAAAGAAAGATGTTTTGGTATGTATTAAAGTAATATTAAGAGAGTGTGTTTTAGAAACTGGGTATGATGATGCATGCCTGAAATCCCAAGCACTCTGGAAGGCTGAGGCCAGAGACTTCATATATTCCTAATATTACTTTAACATATAACAGAACCTGGGAAACTTGGCAACCTAGTAAGACTATCTCAAAAAAATTTAAAAGGACTAGAAATATAATTCTGTGCAAAGGCCTTGGGGAAGGAAGGAGGGAAGGAAGGAAGGAGAAGGGAAGGGAAAGGAAGGAAGGAAATGGAATGAAGAAAAGGAAGAAAATGGAATGGAAGGAAGAAAAGGAAAGGAAGAAAGAAAATGGAATGGAAGGAAGAAAAGGAAGGAAGGAAATGGAATGGAAGAAAAGAAAAAATGAAAAAGAAAGTACATTGTAGGGCTGGCAGTGTACACAATGATAGAATATTTGTATAGTATACAAAAGGCCCTGGATTCAGGCCTTAGCACCTTAAAAACAAACTTATCAGTTACAGAGAAACAAGATTAGTTGTTATCTCCACCAAATAAAAGAATTGTATACCTTTAAGTGTAAAATCAACTCAAAATGATCATAGCTCTTTACTTGAATATGTTCTTTCTCATTTTCTCACCCTCCACTTCAGGTTTGGTAACAAAGAGGAATACATGGCATTCATGAATGATTTTTTAGAACATGAATGGGGTGGAATGAAGCGCTTTCTTTTGGAGATCTCTAATCCAGACACCATCTCAAATACCCCAGGCTTTGATGGTTACATTGATCTGGGCCGAGAGCTTTCAGTTTTGCATTCCTTACTGTGGGAAGTAGTTTCCCAACTTGATAAGGTAAAGTAGGCTGGAGAAGTAATGGGAGATGGGAGATAGAGAACTTTAGTGTACCTGAATTCTGGAGCATATCTATGAGTGGTAATACTCACCTATTTTTCTAATTAAAAGCAACCTGTAAAAAAATATGTGCTCCACAGCTGTGAGATTCTAGAAAGCCATGAAACTATTAATACATTTTAATAATTATCTGAATCAATGAAATATTCATATACATACACATACAGTACATATCTGAAAATTTGCCTAGAACCTAATATAAAATATTGGTGTATGCATCCTCATTCATATGTAGTAGAATAAGATAAAACCTCATCTAGCAAGTGCTAGAAACAGTACAGACTTAGAAAATAGTTTATCATGTTTACGTACCTTTACTCATGAAATTCTTTGTATAGGTGGTGGTCAGAAGCTTTATAATTATTAGTGCTGCTGTCACACATAAAATCTGAAAATCCTGATATTGACATTGGCTTTTCTACAGATGTGACACAGAAATCAATATTTCAATCATTTGTTTTCTGACTATAAACTAAATTTAATCATATATCATATTAATGAATAAATTATTAAGTATGCTGATCACTTTTTTCCTTCTGGAATTTTACAGCAAGGCATAGATTTTTCTAATAAAAAATAGTTTACTGGTAGGGGCCCGGGAGATGGCTCAGTGGAATAAGCGCTTCCCTGGCAAGCGCAAGGGCCTGAGTTCAATCCCTGGTTCTGCAAAAAAAAAAAAAAAAAGTAAAAAAAATAGTTTACTGGTGTTGGTTTGTCTTCCAAAACTATGTTTTTGTGGTGAGGATTTGTTTGCTTTCTTCAATTTTCCTCTTACATGTAAAGATGTGTTAATCAAAATTGCAGAAGAATAAAACTTACAAAAAAGACCACTGTCCTGAGAAAGCATAGGTAGTAGTGTGTCCACTGGTGCTTAAAACATTTATAAAATAATCATTTCTTATTCTCCAAAACCCAATCTTCACTTTTAGAAATGCTAGCTAGATCTTACATTGAAGCTATGTTGAGGATAACTTCCCTTAATATGAACCGGCTCAGCATTGTTGAGCAGGTAAAGACACTCTGTAGATGGCATTGTATCCTTTTGAGGAGGGTATAAGTCTATTGATTATTAAGAAGACAGAAATGATCCAAAGGCAACCATGTAAAACTGACTTACTGAGAGATCGCATAAAACCCTATGAGAATAAGAATCCCCTAAAGAAAAAAGAAAAAAAAAAGTGAAATGGATAATACCTGTTATAAAAAGTTACTCTTGGCCAGGCATAGTGATACTCGCCTATAATCCCAGCACACAGGAGGCCGAGGCAGGAGGATTGCTGTGAGTGAGGCCAGCTTTGAATTGCTAGTGAAACCCTGCCTGAAAACACCAACAACAAAAATGTTACTCTTATTTTGAATAACTTTATTAGTGGCGTGCACATATTGTTATTTTGTGAAGTAAGGCCTGCTTTATAGGTCAGAGTCTTTTCAACAGGCTTTGTTGTGTATATACACCTTCTCCTTTTTAACTAATTTTGAGATGTAATACATCTAGATATATAGAGGGAATGTAATTATTTTGTTGTTTTAAAAAAAATTACCTTCTTAATGAAAACTAAGATGGCAATGGGTCAGGGGTCCCAAGATTGACTGGGCTACTGGATGGCAATACCAACTAACTGTGTGCCCTGCCGTGTTGTGGATTCCTGAATGCAGCACCTTCCTGTATGTTGGCATGCATTTCTTTTCTCACATGGTCCTTTTTCTTTGTAAGTTTCATCACACCAGCCAGCCCACTAGTATTGAAGTTCCTTTTGATTAGGTGTTTGGTTCCTCCCCTTCTCTATTTGGTCTGTTAGCCACACAAAGATTTAGTTTGCTTTGCATGCCTATTTTAGTTGGAATGGCAGTAGTTTGGTTGTTTAAGCATGTCTTTTAATTTTTATTTGCGTAATGCTAATTTCTGTTTCCCTTTCTTTCCTCAATGTCTGCTGCACCTTGTTTCGCCTCCTCCATTCATCTCGACGCCATGGTTCTGCTGCTCCATAACAATGCATTATGAACTTGCCACTCCCATACGCAAATACCTACCCTTCCCTCCAACCTGCACCCCTCCATCAATGGGCCTCGTTTTCCCAAAAACAATCTGTGGTGGATGTCACAATGCTCCTTATCCAATTAGGGTGAAAATTCCTTCCTACAGGCAACCGTGGCAAAACTGGGGCCTCTCCCCCGTGTTCTCGCTGATATTACCAAGTCTCTGACTAATCCTACGCCAATACAACAGCAACTGAGACGCTTCACTGAGCATAACTCCAGTCCAAATGTCAGTGGGAGCCTCTCTTCTGGGCTGCAGAAAATATTTGAAGACCCTACTGACAGGTATGAAAGAAATTTTGAACTGTCTCAAAGAGGATATTTAGATTTAGCAGAAATCATTTTAATTTATTTGAATTTGCAACTATAAAGTTATGAGCAGTTGAATCATCTGAGTTCGACTCTGTTGTTTGTCATAGTGCACAGAATTGAGGATAACTTATTTTCTGTGATGATAGGATGGATTATATTCAGAAAATGTATATAGAACTCTATGTCCCACTTAATGGAAGAGCAAGAATTTACAAAATTGATGTCAGTATAGCATTAAAAACTCTGGACACCCTCAGTTCATACCATTTTATAGCTGTTTAGATCATCTGGATTTAGACTTCATTTAGTAGATTGGCAAGATTTATATTGTGCTTTTAACAGGGACCCTTGGGTTGTCTGCTCAGAGCTTTTCCTCTTCAAGGTTATGACAGAACTAATTAAGTATGAATTCTAGTACCTTGAGAGGTACACTAATCTTTCTAAATAGGAAATTATTGGAAATGTATTAAAAATTGAACACAGCAATGGGATGGTATACATAGGGTTATTCTCCATCTTTGGGAGAAAACTGAAATGCTGGCTTCTATTCTAAGAATTATAATGATGAAACCCGAGTTTCTAAAAAAAAGTAAGTCTCCACACTGGGCCTGTGAAACTTCAGCAGTGCTCCTGTACCCAAACTGAAGAATATTAACCATGTGGGATTTTCCTCAAGAGTAATTCAGGGTCCTTTGTTTTTCCACAGTGATTTGCATAAACTAAAATCTCCAAGCCAGGACAACACAGACAGTTATTTCAGGGGAAAAACATTATTACTAGTTCAGCAGGCCTCCTCCCAGAGCATGACATATTCTGAAAAAGATGAAAAGGAAAATAGTCTTCCTAATGGTCGGAGCATCTCCCTTATGGATCTCCAGGATCCTCATGGTGCTCAGGTAGAGCACACATCTGTCATACTTGATGTGCCTATGCGCCTGACAGGAAGCCAGCTTTCTATAACCCAGGTGGCCAGCATCAAACAACTGCGGGAAACCCAGAGCACTCCCCAGAGTGCACCTCAAGTGAGAAGGCCCCTGCATCCAGCCTTGAACCAGCCAGGAAGTCTCCAGCCCTTGTCATTCCAGAATCCGGTCTATCACCTCAATAATCCTATTCCAGCAATGCCAAAGGCCTCTGTCGATTCCAGTTTAGAGAATCTAAGCACTGCCAGTTCTAGAAGCCAAAGTAACAGTGAAGACTTCAAACTCAGTGGACCCAGCAATAGCAGCATGGAAGATTTCACCAAACGTAGCACCCAGAGTGAAGATTTCTCCCGACGGCACAATATGCCAGACAGACACATACCTCTTGCTCTGCCACGACAAAACAGTACTGGGCAAACGCAAATCCGAAAAATGGACCAGGCCGGGCTAGGTGCCCGAGCCAAAGCCCCCCCATCCCTGCCCCACAGTGCTTCCCTACGTAGCACTGGGAGCATGTCAGTGGCTTCTGCAGCCTTAGTGGCTGAACCTGTGCAGAATGGGAGCCGGTCCCGGCAGCAGTCCTCTTCCTCCAGAGAAAGCCCTGTTCCCAAAGTGAGAGCAATCCAGAGGCAACAGACACAGCAGGTAAGGGTGAGTGCTAGAGGGTTTGCTGCTGCCAACAACTGTAGTTCCTTGGTTCTTTATGGGAAATCCAGTTGCTAACAAGGTTCCCACTTAGTATTTTTTGCCACCTTTAAATGGGAAGAGGAAATGAAAAGTTTTGGAGGCTTCTGGCTAGGTGAGACAGCAGAACATAGACTCATTACCCTGAGGAGACTCTCTAACAAACACTCAGGGGGCCTTTCCTTCTCTGTAAGCAGCAGAGTTGCTAAGTTTGCACTTAGAACAGATCTATGATGTTGAATGAATACTTAACACTCATAAACTAAAAATTCAGTAGAAAAGTCAACTATATTTTGGGAATCTAGAAACTAATCCTTGTTTTTTTCTTAAAAGTAGGATATTCTGAGCTGTGAATTTAACTGCTTCCTGCTTTATCCCCCAACTCCCTATGGTAATACCAAGTCCCACATGCCTTTTCCTGGAAATGACTAGAAAAATAAACAACTGAACAACTACAAGGATAAGGTAAAAGAGAGGGTAAAGAGATAGAAACATAGATGGCTAACAAGTCTTTTAAACACTTGTACATCCTTATATTACTGTTTACATTTTACAAGCTTAGCTAGCCTCACACCAATCTTACATATTAATTTCCAGGCTTTCTGCTTGTTTGCTGAGAATTAAATCATTCCTTCCTTACAGTAGTACCTTTTGAGGCACCGGTACATATTTTATGTTTAAAGTGAACCAATAACCTTGGGAGTAGATACCTTGTTTGGCTTGATTTGACAGCTTCTGCCTTAACCCTCTATGATCAGAGCACTTTGCCATGTACTAATAGTTGTTGATAGAAGGAGAGAGGGAGGGGAGAGAGAGAGAGAAATTAAGCATTTGTACAACTTTTGGATACAAATTTAACTCAAGCTGATTGAGGAACAGAAATCCTAGTCATTCTTCCCTGAGAAATAGCTGTCCTTTCACCTTACAGTTACCTTTTTTTTTTGTTTATTATCCAACATCTCACCAATTTATTTGATTTAATATGCATTTTCATTTAAGGAAAAGGAAAAAAATATACCTATCCTTTATATCTCTTATTTATATTATATATACTTTTATATGTAAGTATAAACACAAACACAAATTTCATATTAGAATTAAAGTATTTATTAGAAGGACATTGGGCCAGCCAGATAGCTCAACGAACTAAAGCGCCTGCTTAGGCAGAGCGCAGGACCAGGGTTCCATTCCTGGTATGCAATACCGGCCCCACCCCTGGGGCTTGCTGAGATGGTGATTAAGACTGGGCGTGGTGGCACGCCCCTGTAATCCCAGCGCTTGGAAGGCTAATACAGGAGAATCACTACGAGTCCAATCTACATAGTGAGACCCTGTTAACCCTGTACTAAATGCATAAAATTGAGAGACAGAGACAGAGAGAAACAGAGAGACAGAGACTAAAATGTAAACTACACAAAGAGGGTATATTGTGTGAAAACACATGGGGGGGGGGGACTTAGAGCCATAGGAAAGCACTAAGGATGCAATAGATAGTAGTTAAGAACATCAGACTGACCCAAAGGACAGGACAGGGAAAGGGCCCTCCTGCTTTTCAAAAGCTGTCGTAAGTCCAGCCTTGTAAAGAAAAGAAAAATTAAAATTCTGTTCTTTTACTTCTGCCTGTCCATTGCTTCTGTATTATGTAGTCCTCAATTCCCAGGGCCTATGACTCAGGGTGATTTTTATAATATTATAAATGAAATAGCTTTTGGGGTACGCACCTGGAACCAGCTGTTCTTTGTAACATTTTTCCTATAAAAAAATACCACACTTAACACAAAAACACAGAATGTATGTTTCTATGAACAAATGTAAGGCTGAGCTGAATGAGAGACGGAAAACATACACCATCTTCAAATACCAATTTAAAACAATTTTTATGCCACAGCTACTGATAAATTAGGAAGTATCTTTATTATTTTGGCATGAAGTGGGCACAACCACACTGAGATGTCCTGGCAGAGGTTGAAAGATTGACCTTTGTGCCTTTGCAGGTAGCTGCCTCTGCAGATGTCTCTGTATTTTGTGGTTTTTCTTTGTAGCTTTTTGTATACAGATGGCACATTCTTCCAGTTGTTGCTTTTGTGTTCTTTATCTTTCTATCTCTTACTTATGTTTCTCATTCTTAGTCCCATAAGTCTCTGAAGTTCTATACAATCAGCACATTTTTAAGGCAAATTCCTTTACACATTTTAATTGCAAATTATGTTGGGAAATTCTTTTCTCTACAGTACTAAAGGATTTCTTTGTGGGGACTGTTCTGTAGGCGTCTATCATTGTCAGTGGCTTTGTCCCCTGCAAATTCCATTTGTAACTTAGCACAGAGGAACAGGCATTATTGCCAGTGTCATTGCCTTCAGTCTTCTTCAGATATAGTGAGTAGGCAAGAAATGAAATTCTAGTGAAACAGTTTACATTTAGTTTTTTCAGGAAAGTTAAAAATATTTTGAGTCCTTTGAGCCACTATTTGAATTTCTTTTTTCTCACCTCTCTATGAGGTATTATACAAATATTTACCATCTTCCCTATTCTTAGACATTCTAATTTGAGGAGGTTTTTAAAAATAGGTGTTTGGATACGAGCAAGATGGCAAACACCTGTAATCCCAGCTACTTGGGAAGCTGAGGCAGGAGGATTACTGCAAGTTCAAGGCCAGCCTGGACTGCACATTAAATCAAGGCCAGCGTGAACTGCACAGTGTAACCCTGTTTCAAAATGACAAAGTAAATAAATAAAATAGGTATTTGGTATATTTAACAAAAATGAAAAGGTATGTATTGGTTGCTGAAGAAACTGTTCTTTAACATGGTGCAGAAAAGAAAGAAAAAAATAGGTATTAATAAGCACACTGGCCAGGGAGATGGCTTAGTGGAATAAGTGCTTCCCTGACAAGTGTAAGGGCCTGAGCTCAATCCCCGGTTCTGCAAAAAAAAAAAAAGGGACAGTTTTCTCTTCTGGGGGCCTGGCCCTAGCTTAGTCCTTTAAGTGGCTGCTTCCACAAAGCTGTCAGCCTCAGGTTGCTGGAGTTTGAACCTCACAACTCTCCCACTGGCCAAAAGTGCCCTGAAGGCATTCGAGGAACAAACAAAAAAAAAAAAAAATCCTTAATAAGCACACTGGTCTGCAAACTTAGGTTGTTAACCATCCAGAAGTCAAGCTTATTGTTATTACCATACAACTTAGGCTGTTAAGCTTAATATCACTATGTGTCTTAATATCAAACATCTTAGGCATAACATGAAACAGGTATTTTTCATCAAGTATTGATATGTTGAACTTTAAGTCCCTACAGAATATGATAAAAAAATTTAAAAATTAGAATATATTTTAAAAATAGGCATAAAGAATTATATACTTCTTATAAATCTAACCATATACAATCTTGAAACAGGACAGTGCCACCATATTCCTTTTCCTGTCTTTTGCTTTCATTCACCACCCCCTTCTTTTTGAACAACCATCTATCCGAGAGACAGCATAGCAGCAACTGGCATGTCATGACAAGTAGCCCGTATTCAGAAGACCAGAATGACAGGCACTCCAAGCATGAAACTACTATTACAGATTACCATCTGCAGTGCAGTTACATATTTCATAGGTATCAGTATATATAGTTAGTCAGGGTGAGAATCTTTCCAATTAACTGCCAGATTCAAAATTAGAGAAAAAGGAGGGTCACAAAGAAAGCCAACATTTTGGCCCTAGCCTTCCAAGGTCAATTAAGACTCAGGACATATGAGAACTTGTACTGTAACGTCATGTAACTTGGTAGTGTCCCAAATTTTCTGATCAAGGAGATTATGGGGCCAAAGAGGAAAGTGATCAATGATGTAGAGTGTGCCTAAGGAGAGTCACATGCAGAGAAAACATTCTCTCAGGCTTTCACAGAGAGCACATTGGCCAAGCAATGGCCATGACTCATCCACATGGCTGATACTGACAAACAAACTGAGGTACAGGATCTCAGGATAAATCCTGAGGGGATTTCACTGACATTATCAGACCCAAAAGCTACAACTCTTGTTGCATAGGTCCTGCTTTACCTTGGTCTTAACAACCCAGCAGAAAAGTATAAAAACGAAGTATAAGAAGTAAAGCCGTGCTGTTACGTTGAGCTGTAGGGGACTCAGGTCAACAATTTCTGACATTGCCAGTCAAGGGGAAGACCCAGTACTATTATGGGCTGCTGGACTCTTTTAGAATGTTTTGCTGAGTTTACACACCTATAATATTCAAATAACGGAACTTAACAAAAAAAGGGGATACAGATGAATGGCCATTGTGTATCTGTGTATTCAAAGTAGTTAGGATAGATACATAGTTACATTCTCTTAATGAATAGAGGGATTTATTCTAATGATGTTTGTAAATAGGATATCATGTCCACATCTTGTATAGCAAGATGTGGAAGAATGTATGCAATGTGTTAATTATTGAAACTGTCCTACCAATTTTATTTGAAACTGTCTCATTGCTATTTGTTTCTCAATAAAATTATGGAAAAAAATTTAAAAAACAAAACAAAAGCACACTGGTAATGTATTGCAGTTTTCACATTTGGGTTTGTTGACCCCTGTTCTAACAAACTCTCCTCAAGAACCCTTAGAGCTTACTCATTAAGTCAATCCTTTTGTATTGATAACAGAAGTGTTACTCATTGTGAGAACCTATTTCAGATTATAAAGAAGCTGAAATTAACTCTTGTCTAATAAATACTGACAAGGAACAGGGAACTGCACAATTCTCAATTGGCCCTAGCATAGCCAGTCTGTGAGTAATTATTGTCAGTTAAATGGCTGTGTTGGACCCTTTGCCCTAAATCATCATTATTTTTCCTAGGGAATTCTTATATGGATTCATCTCAAAAGGGAGCTGTTCCTAATGGGAATTCCTGCTGCTTTTCTTCTTATCTGTTTCATCCTACATTTTCTTTAATTATTCTTTTGAAAATCATTAGTAAAAATTGTCTTCCTAAGGACATATCTAAGCAACATGAGTTCTAAACCATTACCAGACATTTCCTTCAATTGGCTGTAAACTAAATAATTTTTTGTTATATATCCAGCTTATAAAAAAGGTAGAACAATCATTAAGAAAATGTCTTTGATGCTCTCCCAGAGGACTAAAGGAAAAGCAGAATGTCCTTTTAGAATGAACTTTAATAATATCTAAAACCTAGGGCATTAGTGGATAAGTAGTTTTTATTGAGTATCTATTACACATTTAAATAGTTACTACTCCTCAAAAGAATGAATGATATGGTGCCATTAGATTAACATTCTAATTAGTAAATAAAACCAGCACATGTAAGACCAAAGGAAAAATATAAAAGACAGTTATATAAAGCTTATAACAATAATTTAAAAAAGAATGTCTCTTCTATTTTCTTCCAATCTGAAATAGTAACTCTAATAGTTAATAGTATAGTGACTACTCTGCAAGCCTAAAACTTGCAGTGATCCTCCTGCCTCAGCCTCCCAAGTGGCTGGGACTGCAGGTGTGTGCCATCTTGCTCGGATCCAAACACCTACTTTTAAAAACCTCCTCAAATTAGAATGTGTAACTTTTCATTTATTCAGTATTACTTTCTGGTTCCTTTATACATACTATAAAAGCTTTATCATGAATAGAAGGAATAATTAAGATAAGCGTGATTTTTATCAATTTTGACTACTTACTGTTTGCCAAGCAAAGTGCTAGAATGTATCAGGAAGTTTTCGGGATAATATTCAACCAATAAAATAGAAATAGATCTCTAAATACTGATTTCCCATTGTACGATCTCTCATAATTCATTGGACATTATATCTGTCATCCTGAAGATAGCGCTATCACCAACTGAGCGAGCAAGCCAACCTTTGTTTTTATATTTTCTCATTTAACAAAACCTCAATTACCTCCAAGATGTTTTTGTTGTTGATTTTTTAAAATATGCTTTCTTGTTTTTCCCCATAATTTTATTGAGAAACAAATAGCAATGAGACAGTTTCAAATCAAATTGGTAGGACAGTTTCAATAATTAACACACTGCATACTGCCTTCCTAGTGGTTATTTATTGTACAAGATGTAGACATGATATCCTATTTACAAACACTATTAGGACAAATCCCTCTATTCATTGTAACATATGGTTTCAAGGGCTAAGATTTTATTTCCTTTGTATGTTTTATTTGGAGTACCATTAGTGTGCAGAGCACTTCTAGACACTCAGTGAAGTTACCTATAACAAATCATAGGGAAAGAAAGTTCATTCAAGCAACAACTTATTAGCCACATAAAGCACAAAGCTATTGAATTAGCTGCCTTGAAGTAATAAATTCCTAATAGTAAAGTTGTTATTAGTTTAATAGCTACTTTATCTCAAACTGCCATGGAATAGAAAATTCTGGTTTCACAATAAAACAGCTTTCTGGTGCCCTTTGTGCTAGAGTAAGGAGACTGTAAAACTAAAAACATTTGTCTCCTTTAAATACTGACTTGCTATTAATTTTAAGATCACTGCCACATTCTTTTGCCTTCCTGGTGCACGTATATCAAATAAAAATATGAGCCCTTTTTGCTATTGCCCTTTACCAATGCAAAAACAATTCATTTTGCTCTGCTTTTAAAATCCACCAGAGGGAGAACTATCATGTGTATCCATGTGTAAGGTCCCTTTAGTTTACAAAGAAAGTGCTTTATCCCTTTATTCTCATGTGACTTTAGATAGTTACCTTCCTTTTATGGATGATGCTTTGTCCTGTAGGCCACTGTTCCCATGTGATAGTCAAAATTAGTGTACATAGTTATCAGTCATGTAATTGTTTTGATACATACTAAAAAATATATAACCATTAAAATACAACCATATACAATATATATAGAATATCAAACTCATTATTTCACTGATACTGCTTAGCTTAAAGGCTTAACTCAAAGTATTTTTACATTAAGCAAATAAAAAAGGTTATTTTCTCAGTAAGTAAATATATTAATGATATGAAGTATATGACAAGTCAAGAAATGTACCTATGACTATAGTAGAGATGAAAATAGAATCTTAACCTCTGAGAATACTGAAATTTAATATATATTGTAAAATTGTGGACTTAGAGAAATAATGTTGGCAAGTTCATTCACAATGTGTGTACTTATATAAACTACATACATCCATTCTTAGTCATGAAACCTTTCTTATATATTTATGAAATGTTTGTAGGTCAATAAACCAGGTTCTTCAAAATGTTTAAGAAATACCTTCATACTACTGTTGTGTATATGAAGTCTTTCCCAACCTATCTTTAATAACTTTTTAGTCCCTGTAGTTTTTTCATCCCACTCTTAATTTTCTTGGTCATCAAAATAAGTAGTCTTTTAAAATACTTACTTAGAGTTTAATTGAACTCTAGTTATGAAATTATGCAGGATTTGCTGGTTCTCAAGAATCCATTTTAACCATAAAAAGCTAATTCACATAGAAAGCTTTGTGTTCTGCCTCACTGTTTATCCCAGTCCAAGGTGCGGGGGGCATACATTTCTAGCATTATTTGTGGAGAAAGCAGTAGTATTGAGTAGATGAATATAAACTGTAATATCCACTTCATTTTTGGAACATAAATGTAGTAAGACTGACATGTAATCTCTCTACAGCACTCTGCAGTTGCCAGAGAACTTTCACATCTACTGTCCTGTTCAATCCTCAGCTCCCTATGAGATGAGCAGGATAAGTGATGGTGATAATAACCCTACTCAGTAGACTAGAAATATAGAGTTAAGTGGCAGAGTTGCTCCTCATGGCCAGTTCTTAACACTCTGTATATCTGTATTGGAATAGAACAATTACCTTGCTGTCCTAACTTGTTTTTAGGTAGAAGTCCCACCTCCAGGTATCCCAGTTGCCAGCTCAGCTACCTGTCCTAAAATCCAGTCAAGACAGCAGCGGTGAAGTACAGGAGAAGAACATTATTTAGCATGACTATGTCAAAAAGGACAGATAAAGACATTCAAGGTTTCTCTTCTTAAGGAGTTAACAGATACTTTGAGGTTTTTTAGAAAAGGGAACAATGACAGTGGTTGCAGATTTTTCTAGCTGGAGATTTGTATAGCTGGCAGTGTAGGTATTCCTGGTCTGGTTGATCATTACCTTAGGGCTGGTTCTGTGAGGTGGTTCCAGAGAAGTGCTTATGGTTTGAGGGAACAGTCCAGTTCCTGTGAGGTGACCAGCCCTGCTGGGGCTGATCTGTTCAAGTCTTCTATAGAGTGCAGACTGTGGCTGGAGAGTTGTAGGCACCACATAGGGGTCTACAACAGATTTTGTAAGATCTGGCAACTGAGTGTTCCTATAACTGTTGAAATTGCCTTAGTGCTCCAACTTGGTATTCTCAGTTGAGAACAAGGATGAGAAAAGAAAGATTAATTAACTAATAAACCTTGTACTGGCAGTTTTCAGATAGACACTTCTTAAGTAACCAACATGCTTACATACAGGGCTGAGCTGTGATACAGTCCAAACTTTTACAGTAAGAAAGGAAACATAGGGGCCAGGGAGGTAGCTCAGTGGAATAAGTGCTTTCCTGGCAAGCGCAAGGTCCTGAGTTCCATCCCTGGTACCACAAAAAAATATAAATAAATAAACAAACAAATAAATAAATAAATTCACTCTGGCCTAGAAAGGAAACATATAACAAAAGAAGATAGAGATCTGGGCTTTATCCTATTTTTACTTAATCAACTTGGCATAGCCTGGGCAAGCCTCTATGTCCCCACTATAACTGGATAGAAATATGACACAGACCCTAAGGAATCTATCATTTTGATCATGTATTCATCAAGAAACTTCCTAGTTCAGAACATAGAGTCCTGAGTGATTTTAATCTGTTAGGAAGAGGAAATCAGTGACCCCTAAAAATAATCAGTATCACTTGTCTTTCTCTTTCTAAGTGATTAATGTAAAAACTTAGTTTTTGGCACTCTGATATCCAAATGTCATCCTCTGAGTTTATATAGCATTAATTGGTTCTGTGGTCCATGATCATCTTTGGGTTCAATAGACATTTCCCCATGTGAGTAATCCACCATCAAGTTATGCATTCTTTCTCTTGTTCTGTCATCATTTTAATCTTACTACGTAGTTTAATACCTAACAGCATTTGAACCACTGTGCAAATTAATAACTTTAAGGTCTTGGCTTTCTTTAAAAGGAGAAAAGCAATGATTCTTGTATGTGATGTATACAAATAGATATGCTTTTCTCTGCCCCTTTCATGAAGAAAATACTACTCACAACTAAGAGTATTTAATAGAAAATTAAAGGATCACTGTCCTGGCTTCCAAGAATATCTGCCTTTGTGAAACATAATGAATGAGCTGTTTTAAGAAATCCTAATAACTATTTTTCATGCAGGTTCAGTCACCTGTGGATTCTGCCACAATGTCCCCAGTAGAGAGAACAGCAGCCTGGGTTTTAAACAATGGACAGTATGAAGAGGATGTGGATGAAACTGAGCACAATCAAGATGAAGCCAAGCATGCTGAGAAGGTAGAAGCTAGTCTGTCTATGTTGTCGTTTTTGCCCCAACAAGTGATAGGCTACTAGAAGGGTTATCAAGATAAGAATGCTATGTCTACCTACTGCCATCTTTCCCTCTGCCTCTATGTTAACCATCATGTTTACGTCTAGTAGTTCAGTAGCATCTCTGTGTGCACACATATAGGAAATACTCATCACGCTATAGGGGAGGAAGATTAGATAATTTCTTTTTTCACATAGAAAAAAGATTGAAGGCACTCTGCTATTCATTTCTAGCCATTTTAGGTAAAGCTGTATCTGTATAAACCTTTTGTTAGTATTCATAAGCTCAAAATTACCTTAGTACTAGACTTACTATTTGTATCTTGGTGACAGTTTGGTTTATTTTTTGTTGTTTTGCCTTTTCTAGATAGTGTATAGCTCTATAAATAGTTCTTTAACATGTATTACCAGTTGCTTGAGATTGTTAGTAGAAAATTGATTTAAAAATGATCAAACAATAATCTTGCTGTCATATATAGCATTATCACATTTAATTGACAACCAAATAATTAAATTATTAGCATAGCCCTAAATTATGCTTATTAATACAGTCTATTTAGAATTGTCATAAAAACTTTGAGGGGCCAAGGAGATAGCTCAGTAAAATAAGCGCTTGCCTGGCAAGTGCAAGGTCCTGAGTTCAATCCCTGGTACCACAAAACCTTTCACCTTTGATGTCCTAGATTAACAAGCATAATTTAGGCCCACAAAGTAGAATAAGCGGTAGCTAGTTATCTGACCAAATTAAATGAGATATGATATAAAATTACTCTTTTAAAGTACTATACAGATTTATCATTAATTACTATAAATATAAATAAACTATGAATTCATTGGGAAGCTTATGTCTCTCACCTAGAAAATTTGACATTTCATTGCATTCAGATCCCACCCACAGCAAGAAAGTACCATATAACTGATTGCATTACTGAATTTGCATGAGGTTTCTTAAGTGAAAACATAGACAGATATTCTGGCAAGAAGTACCAAATGGGGTAGGTGAGATACATCAGGAAAATTAGACATTATTAATCAACCCTAGAGAATCTGTGAGCCTTTCCTTAGTGCTTTGTGACCTTTTACACTTTTATAGTTAGAATGAAAGCAGTGATGGCCTGCTCTTCCATAAAATTCCATTTAATGATTTAGTGACATTATAGAAGTATTGCTTGTCCTCTTCTAGTAGAATAAAGGAATAGCAGTCTGATAAGTGATATTAATGTTTTGGATTCTACAGTATAAGTGATGATACATAAATCTTGGCTTTTTTTAAGTCATTTGTGGGGCTTCTAACTGCTTGATCTTTTTGCCCCTCCCATTTAATAGCCATCACCAATTAGATATATCTTATAGCACCTAGCAATATGTAAGGATTTTTTTGGGGGGGGGCCTGGCTCAGGCTGCCTTAAGGACTGGTCTGGTAAGGCGTGTGGAGCTGGGGATCAAACCATGCACCTGGTAATATGGAGCAAGAAACCTAATCTGTACAGTTTGGAATGCCAAGACTTAAAATATAATTTTAAAAGGGAGACAGTGCTTCATTAACATTTTATGCCAGTTGATTATTTTAAATAACATCAGCAGCAAAGATAGATAGATAGATAGATAGATAGATAGATAGATAGATAGATAGATAGACACTAGCTGAAACAAAGGGAAAGGTAAGTTAGGCAGCATCTAGCTGCACTGCTTAGGGTTTCTTTCATTAAAACATAAAGCAATAATTTCTTTTTTTTTTTTTTTTTGCGGAACCGGGGATTGAACTCAGGTCCTTGTGCTTGCCAGGGAAGCGCTTATTCCACTGAGCCATCTCCCCGGCCCCAATAATTTCTAAAACAAATGGAACTCTCCCTATCGTTGTGCCTCTTCTCCTTTGTTCTAGTATGAACAAGAAATTAGCAAACTGAAGGAGCGCCTGAGAGTCTCCAGCCGGAGGCTGGAGGAGTATGAACGGCGGTTGCTGGTGCAGGAGCAGCAGATGCAGAAGCTGCTACTGGAATACAAGGCTCGCCTGGAGGACAGTGAGGAGCGGCTGCGCAGGCAACAGGAAGAGAAAGACAGCCAGATGAAAAGCATCATCAGCAGGTCAGAGGAACCCTGGTGGCAGACATGGGATTTTTAAGAAGTATAAAGTACAGGGCTGTGCATGCCTGTTAAGCCCAGCACTAGGAAGGCTGAGCAGGAGGATTGCCACAGTTCAAGGGCAGCCTGGACTACACAATGAGGCTCTTTTAAAAACAATATATAGGGGCTGGTGAGATGGCTCAGTGGTCTAAAGCACCTACCTAGAACAAGCTAAGCAAAGCACAGGGACCGCCGTTCAATCCCCCAGCACCACATGCCAGCCAGCCCCGCCCCCTGGTGGGCTGAGCTGGCCACACACACACACACCCACACACACATAAAAAAATTAAAAAATAAATAAATAAATAATTTAAAAAAAAAAACAATATATAAAGAGATGGGAGACATTTGAAACACTCTTTAAGGAAGGACAATAGAAGTCATTTTCACCCCATGGTACTCTATGGTACTCACTACAAATGTATTGACTGACTGTATCTCTTCAAGTATCTTAAATGTAAGACAGTACATCTCTTATTAAGATAAGAGGAGGTTTTTTCCTATAATCATAATAATTCAAAATAAAGGTGGGGGCCTAGTGACTCATTTGAGAAATTACGGAAAAGAACTGGGTTTAAAAAGTCCAGTTTCCAGCATCTAAAACTTAGATTTCCAAAACAAGTCCAAAAACATAGAAAGGGGTTTTACTATATGTCTTTAGGGCCAGAGGACCAAAAGAGAATAGTACTTCTGCCAAGGGAGATTGAGACAGAGGTCAGTCTTACTACACACTCACTGCTGGCACTCACTAAAAGCCACTTTTCTAAGTACTTTACAAATACTAGTTTGTCTTCACCTTAACCCCTGAGATATCCTTGAATATTTTTTTTAGTGTGTTTTTTTTTTTTTTTTTTTTTTTTTTCCTTTTTTTTTTTTAACGGACCCAGGGAATGAACTCAGGCCCTTGCACTTGCCAAGGAAACGCTTATTCCACTGAGCCATCTCTCTGGCCCCATCCTTGAATATTTTTTTACAGATAAAAAGACTGGCAACAAATTCATTAAGTCTCTTGCCCAAGATCACAGAGGTCTTGTGTTTTTCTTGTTGCTGAAGCAAAATACCCAGCACCCAGAGTTAAAGGAGAAAAGGTTTATTTGGCTCACAGTCTGTAGAGGTTTCAGTCCATAATCGAGCTCCAAATCAGGTGGCCTGGTAGACAGATGATAGCAAAGCAACAAGGAGAAACACTTAATGGCAGACAGATGATAGCAAAGCAACAAGGGACCTTAACAGCATCTTTCTGCCCCTCTTAGCTTATCCAAGCTATTAAAAGCCAGTAGTACTCACACCCTTAATCCTAGCACTCTTGTTCCTAGCATTGCACCATGAATCAATTCTGTTATCACATGAGGTTTTGAAGGGACAGCTAGTCACAAACCATAATAGTGGTGTACCAGGATTTGAAGTCAGACAGTCAGGCTTCAAGGTCTGTGCTCAGAACCACATTTACATGTTAAGCCATTGGATTGCCAGAGGAATTAAACATAGTAGGTTAGGTTGTAAGTAATGGATAAGAAATTATCTACTTACTACTCTTCTAGGTATAGAATACTCTGAAGAAACTTAGCTATGCAAAGGAAGAACATGTGGTTGCTATATACTTCGTATTAGTAGATGATGGGGATTTTTTAATTGGTTGGTTTGATGTTTTACAATGAAATAAGATATACTGAGGAACAGATCTGATAGAGGAAAAATAGGAAATGATTAGAGAATGATTAGGAAGGTCAAAAGCTCGGGGGTTTCATGTTCAGGGTTTGGAGAAATGCTAGCCTCAAAACATTCAGTCAGTTTTTGATTTACAGTCTGCCCATCCTGGATACATACCTCAAGGCAATGGTTTGTTTGTTTATTTTTATTTTGTTTGTTTGTGGAACGAGGGATTGAACTGAAGTGCTTGTGCTTGCCAGGCCAAGCGCTTATTCTTCTGAGCTATCTCCCCAGCCCCCAAAGCAATGGTTTTCAAATGGTTTGATTCTCTGGATGTTTTAGTAGAAGCAAGACACCTTCTTTCCATAGACCAAAGGAGATGAAATCCAGTCACAAAGAAATCAACCATGACTTGACTTTCTTTTTTTTTTTTTGTTTGTTTGTTTTTTTTTAAACATGAATGTAGGACAGGGTCTACAGGGTGTACTCATAGTGATTCTCCTTGTTTCAGCCTCCCAAGCACTAGGATTATAGGTGCTCACCACCATGCCCAGTCTCATTCGCCATCTCAGCACGCCCTGGGGGCAGGGCCAGCACAGCACACCAGGGATCAAATCCAGGCCGCTGCATTCTACCAAAGCAGGCGCTTTAGTCCCCTGAACTATTTGGCCAATCCTTATGACTGTCTTTTTGAAGGTGAAAAAGAAGAAAGAAATGATTATTATAGGTTTCTTATTAGGAAAGACTGGAAATCTTAAAATATGATTAGTTGTAAGCTTCATGTTCTCCATATTACCTAGTCCTATATGAAATGTTGATACCTCGTTCCTGCCACATTCTAGGTTAATGGCTGTGGAAGAAGAACTGAAGAAGGATCATGCTGAGATGCAAGCAGTTATTGATGCAAAGCAGAAAATAATTGATGCCCAGGTAAGTAGGCTCTGAATCTTGTAGAAGCCACTTGTTTTTAATAATCATTATTTTCTGACTTCCTCCCCATGCAATGGACAAAGCAGGCACTAGAAAATGAGGCATTGAAAAGTTCTTGGCATTACCTTTTGAAGATTAAATGAATTTCTATATGCCCTCCCTTACTTTTCCTTTCTTTTACTGGTGATAAATTTGTGAACCCAGCAAAGTATTAGTGTATTTAGCAAAGTTGTTTGACAAGTGTCAACCTAGTGCATGATGGGGTTAGCTTCTTTCCTTGTGGAAAGGAGAGCATTCCTAAAGGGGTAACTGAATGATGCACTGCATGTGTCTGGCTTTTGACCTCTACTGACCATTGCTTGGCTATGCTGTTCACGGTCTTGTCAGTCACGTCCACTGCCATCAACCTCTAGCCTCAGACATCACTGAAATTGCAAGGGAGAGACAAGATTATAGAAGTACCTTTCCTGTTATACTGTTGATTTAGGATCTGTCACTGCTGCTTGGAATGTGCTTGGCTGCCCTTCTTGGTGCTGTGCTTAGAGAGCCTCTTGAGATAAAACTCTAAGGTTGATAAAATCAGAACCTATGCCTCTGCTTGCAGTATAACTTATACCTATGACACCAGTGAGATTATAGCTGCCACAGACACCTCAGAGAAACACATCAGTGATCAGAGCAAAATCCAGTAGGCAAGAAATGTTTCTAACTTTTCATTTTGTAAGTGCAAAATTGATTATATTTCTTAGAATGGAATAACAGAAGGCAGGTGTAGTTTTGATAGTAACGCCTACAGCCATTGAATGTATCATCACTCTGAAGACAACCAGCCAGATTTGCATTTCTCAATCTTAAGGTATAAAATAAAAATGAGCATTAAGAATACATATTCATAAATGTTCCACTCCCTTTTCCATGTACCAGCCAGGATCCAGTATACATTAGAGCCCCCACTATTAAACACACACTTCACAGTCTACCATCTTTGCATGGTCAATATGGTGTGGGTTTTATTTTCCAAAAGAATTAGGAGGCTTAAAGCATAGCCATGAGAAGAATGTTTGGTGGGCTTTGTACTCCATCAAGACCAGTAGAAGTCAAATGTGAACACTGATACTTTCTCATGAGTGTAGCTCCTAAAATATTGTTGACTCTTGCACTTTAGAGATCACAGAAGATCCAGAAGAAAGATCTGCTCTCATTTTCTTGCCTAATACTTTTTAAAAACTCTTACTAGTTGTACCCAAAGTGAGTAAGAGTAGGTAGTAGAGATTGTACCCAAAGTGGGGAAGGGACGAGTAGTAGAGACAAAGCCATCTCACTATGCATACTCTAAAAATTCATCCCCAAGGCTTAAGAAAAACAACTTAGATAAAGAGAAGGAAACTGAATCAAGAAAATTAGTACTGATGAGTTTTTGCCTTTGGAATTTTAAAATAATAACATAAAGCAGGGAGAGTTTTATTAGTGATCACACCGGGAAAGATAAAACAGACCTTTTTAATAATTTCAGCAGATCCAATGTAGTGAGTCATAAGCAGAGAGAACTCATCTGTGCCAGAGGCATGGCTGTGTGCATGGCGACTGTCGGGACAGCCTGATCATTAGCTTTTGAAGGTTTCTACACGTCCTACCTCTTATTTTGACAGCTAAGGCAGGATAACTTGGTAGGAAGCAGAAGTCAGTCACAGAAGGAGAAAGCCAGAGAGAAAATCTGATTTCTCAGGGGTGAAGAGCTTTGAGGTTTCATGCTCAGGGTTTGGAGAAATGCTAGCCTCAAAGCATTCAGTCAGTATTAGATTTACAATCTGCCTGTCCTGGGTACATACCTCAAGGTGGTGGTTTTCAAATGGTTTGGTTCTCTGGATGTTTTAGTAGAAGCAAGGCACCTTCCATAGACAAATAACCAGCTAATCCCAGTGACTACTGAACAACAAAAACCACTCTTAGCTAATGGGTCAAAACATCCTGGGATTGGTTAAATATGATAAATTATCCACTCAAATCCAAGCATTTCTGAAAAGACCACATTTTGAAAATCACTGTACCATATATAGCACAAATCATAAACACTAAAGACACTTAAAATAATAGTGACCTTAAAAGGGAAATTTCTCAACCCAAGTGATATATTAAAATCTTATTTAAGCAAAAGACTAAACATCCTTTGGCATCCTTGGTAATGAATGACCTTTTTATATTTGACCTTTCCTTTTGTAAGAATAAATCTCACCTCTTAAGTACCTAATGGAGTAGAACAGCCCTCTGACATTTATTACAATGAAGTCATGTTTGGGGGTGAAAGCTTCCCAGAGAGGTAATTCATACTTTTATATACCTCATAGGTGTTTTGGTGCCACTGGTAGTAAAATACACTTCTAAAACGAATGTGTTTGTTTTCTGTATGCTAGAGTTAAATCTAGTACTTCTCATTTCTCAAAACACTAACATTCTGGTGTCTGTGCATGGTTTTCCTCTCTGAGGTGTAGATGCCCTGTGCTCTCACTGGTGAGAAAGCTTGTCCTTGAATTCAGCTTCTCCCTGTTCATGAGTCAGTTCACACATAGGCCAGCGACAGCCACTTTCTAACTAGAAATGTAAAAAGATGAGCACTGTGTGGTTCAGTGGCAGAATCACCAGTCCTGAACCTTGTAGCTCTCAGACATGAGGATCCTAATGATGGACCAAGAAAACCATTGCTTAGATATCAGACCAGGAAATGGGCCACCTTTCACTCCCGAGCATGAGGGGACAGTGTGACTCCCAGGATCTCTCCGTGGGATTCCAATGGAGAACAGAGAAGGGCTTCCTCCTATAAGAAGCAAAGCAGCTACCTAGTTACTGTTGCAAGTGATATCTCCACTGTGTTAAATTACAGGTCATAAATGGAAATGAGATTATTCAAACAGGCAAGTAAACCCTGTCCGTTCTCTAGCTGAGCAGTTCCCAGCCTTGGCCCAGTGCACCGGCCTCCTACACATTCCAGCTCCTCCACTCCCCATGCTGAAACCCTTCCTATCATGGATTAGATTGTTTTTGCCTTCTAGTACAGGCAGAATCAAAATGAGAGCATCTTTGGCCAACTGAACTTGACTTTCAAATTTTGTGGGGTTTTTGGTTTTGTTTTTGTTTTTTCCAGTTTTATTTTGACAGGTTGGCAATAGGAAAACGAGCAAGGGTGTCTCTCCACCTGGAAGCCTGCAGTTGTCTAGTGGGGGTTGCTTGGTCTCTCGTGTTACCCTTGTAGGCAAGAGATCATTACAGTCATGTGTAGCCTTCTTTCAAGAACCTTTAAAAGTCAAATGAATTTTTGGAAATGAGCTTAAATGTTTTAATGAACCCTGAACAGTCTTGTTTTCCTTGGTTTGGGGGACTTATAATTCATCTAAATATTAAAATATTTTCTTCTTTATTTCAATAAATCAACCATTTTTCTGTTTAGAGATCATTCCTAATCTTCAGGGGCAGGGATTATATTTGTCACTTACCTCATGTTTTCTGGTAACCGCTGGTCAGCTCCTATCTACTGACTTTTAAAAGATCTGCACTTGTTTTCCTAATAAACCTCACTGGCTGTAATTTTTCAAATAATTGTTTTATAAAAGCCTTACACTTCTTTCTCTTTATAGGCTTTTCGTGACCTTAAAACAAGCAATCCTCCCAAAATTAAAGAGCCTCAAACTCATGATTAGTTTATAATGAAGATTTTGTGTATCTCATCACCTGAAAAGGATATTTTTAAAGGATGATAATAATAAAAAGCTAGTTTTTTAAAATTTGTTTTCATACTTTTGGAATGATAGCCAGTAGCACAGCTGCCACCCATAGCACAGCAGTGGTTTTACCCAGATACCCGCCCCACACTGAGCTTACCTTGTGTGTCCTGGGACTTTGTGTCCCTGTGAACAGTGCTACATTGCAGCCTCAGTAACTGCTTTGATATCGAGGATCAGCATGTGACCTCAGTCCTCAGCCTCCTCTGTGAGCCCTATCATGACTAACCCTTACCATGTTTTCCCTGGACTGATTCAGAAACTCCCAGGGTAGAAAACCTCCTTTCGGTTTACAGTTCCTCTGCTTTGTGGACTATTTTCTTTTTATTTTCATGAGCACAGATAAAGACTGCACTTCTTTGTATACGCTTATTTTCTGAAAATATAGAATTCATGTTGGGGAGGTTCGGGGATGATCACCTAGCTACCAAACCTGGCTGTGTCTCTCCTGATGGTTGTGAGACGGATGCTTTGATTGGATGACTTTTTTTTTTTTTAAAATTAAGCTGGTCCTACTTTCCTTTACATTAACTTTTTAAAAAAACTTTCCCTTTGGTTTATTTTCTCCCTTCCCTTCCTTACCCTCCCTTTTTCTTCCCGTGTGTGTGTGTGTGTGTGTGTGTGTGTGTGTGTATGTGTGTGTGTATGTTTGACAATCTTTGTTTCCAAAGTGTGATTCTAAAGCACTGGTTTTTTTCAGACACTCAAAAGTCAAATGAAAGCATTCTCCTTATTGGATAGCTTTCCTGGAGTAACTCTGAGCTGGAATGGGTCTAGGAGCCTGTGTTCTCTATTTGTTTTCATGTGTTATGTTTATAGCATCCCCTTTCAAGCCACATCCTCCTCCCCATATTCAAATAACTCCTCCGTCTGAGCTTTTGGCTGCTTTTATCTCCTCTTGCTCTTGCATCCTCACTTTACTGGTGACTTTAAACTGCCACCATGTATTGTTTTAATTTTGAGCACAATGTGAATCCTTTCTAAATGTGATTGTTATGCCCAGTTTGGGGAATAAGAACCCATAGATCACATGCACTTCTCTTCTGTGAAATGAAACCTCTGGTGCTTCTTTCTTTGCCACCTAATTTTTATGTTTCAATTTTGACCAAGAGCACTCAAGACATCTTGATGCTACTGTTGCATAGTCTGAAGTAACATGAGGTGCCACTTGTAAAAATCAGTCTCATGTTCCAAGAGATTAGCAGGACTGATAACAAGTCCTGAAAGGAAAGGAAAAAAAGAAAATGGACGAGAAAGAGAAATAAAGAAGAGAAACTGAATCTAACTAGTGTGCAGAAAGAGGCCAAGATGTTCCATTTGTTTGGGAAGCACCATGCATACCACTGTGTGAGAGAAGCATTGGAGTAGGTCATTCAGTAAAGAAAGGGCATTATTTCTTCCATATAAGCTGAATAAAGCCATGATTGGTATGTTATAGGAAAAACGGATCGTGTCCCTGGATTCCGCCAACACCAGGCTGATGAGCGCGCTGACCCAAGTGAAGGAGCGGTACAGCATGCAGGTCCGCAATGGCATCTCCCCCACCAATCCCACCAAGCTTTCCATCACGGAGAATGGTGAATTCAAAAACAGCAGCTGCTGACAGACTTTGTGAATACAGACTGTGGAAGGAGACAGAAGGAAATTTACCCACTTCTATTCCCAGCCTTTACTCGTCCCCTCCAGGTTTACAGAATGTTGCTAATTCAAATGGCAATGTGGTGAGAAACTCAAATGAAGAAAGGAACTTATCTTTCAGGGCATAAGCAAAGATTCCCAAGGTCGAGCTTCTCCCCATCTATATGTACATAGGGAACTTAGTTCTGGGCCATGTACAGAAAATACCACTGTAATATACCAAAAAGAAGTTAATGATGTAGATTACCTTTTTAATTATTACTATTTTTATTATTGTTTTGCTCTTGTTGAAAGCACTGCAGTTGTTATAGGAGGAAAAGTAGGAACTGTAACTATGTATGAGTGAGAAATGAGCCCGTGGGTTCAGTAGGTAGAGACCCAGTTTCTCTCTAATAGAAGCACATGGAGTGCAATAGGACGTTGTTAGAATGAATTTTTTCAGGGATTCGTCTGCCAGTTTAAAAGACCTATTCTGATCCCCGTGGCATTTAGGAAAACATGCAGATACCAAGATCCATACAAAACAGTAATTTATTCCATTGATCAACCAAGATTGATTTTGGTCAGACCACTAGCCTAACTTGGGGACTCACTGTTTCAGGGGACAGATATAAAAGCAGTTGCATCAAAACTGGACTTTAGGAGTGATATCTAGTGAACTCCAGTCAATATGCCTATTTTCTCTGTCTACAGCAAATGGGAATTTTCTGTTTTAGATATGTTTTTTTTTTTAATTTCCACTCCTACTGTAATAAAGGGTGTTCTTTTTCCTCTTTAGAGTTTATAAAACTATAAATATTTGTGTCTCTATATACAGTCTTCATCTTCATACATCTATACATGGTGGGAACAGTCATCACCAAAAGGATTTACTCTCCCTGGGAGACATTATTCATATATACTGTTCATAAGCCATCTGAAATAAACACCCTTTCTTCCAAACAGAAAAGGGCTAACCACAGCATAGCAGGAATCTCTGGATATTTCCTGTTTTCTATATTTGTAAAGTAATATTTTTTTGTTCAGGATAAAGATTTTATCCATTGTACTATGAGCAGGGTAATTTTATCTCCAATATTTAACTTTTAAACGGCTGCTTCTTCCTCTTATTCCCTCAATATAATTTGGAAAACAAATCCAAACCAGAAACATCACTCTTGAAAGTCTTGTTTAAAAAAAGAAAAATGTGTCAGGGCGACACATTCCAACTGTCATTTTCACACTTTTGGTAGATTTGGCAATAATGACCCATTTATCATCCATGGCTTATTATAAGACAGAAAAGGTCATGGAAAAGAATTTTTCTCCAGAGGTATAGAATGTCATCTGGGATGCAACCTTTATTACCAGGATTATGGGATGTTGTTACATGTTAAATGGACATTATATATACAAATATATATACGTATATCTTCACACATATGTACATATAGCTACACAGATAGGAAACATTCATACCTTCTATGCTGTCAGATATAGAGATGCAATTTTAAACTTGAATCTCTTTAAGCAAGACCTAATCAGTTATTTTATATTGAAAAAGCAACAGTATTTCTCAAATGAGTTGTTTACTTTAAATTACAAACTTTAAGAAATTTTTTTAAAGTAAAAAAAGAGAAAAAACTAGGGAGCTATACCCATGGGCTGTTTGTACTTGTGTGCGTTGTTCTACATAAGGGAAGAAGACTGCCTGTATAGTGCCCTCCTTATAGTGAAGCCCAAGCATAGATACCAAGCCCTCCTTTGTACCAAGTCCTCAGCTTGCATTTCTACTATTGAGCTTTACCATTTTTCAAAAGGATCTTTTTGTTGAATCTCATCAAAGCCCCCAACCCACAACCTTGTAAAGTGCTTTTCTTCATAACAGCCCATTTCTATCAGTGATCAAAAATAGGGGCTTCTCATTGTGCTTAGATCTTCAGACTTAAATGCCTAGCTGTATGACACTATACTGTATTTTTTGAGGGGTGGGCTTTATTAATTTTTTAAATGGTTATCTCTTCCTTCTGAACTGAGGGCACACTAGTCAAAATCATTTAATAGGAATAAAAGTTACCAATTCTGAAAATATTTGCTAGGTTGGGGAAGTATAAACATAGAACTGTTCTTTGTGGCTTGTTCTCAGCTCTAGCAAAGTTTAATTCATTCCTTTTAGAGCCTGAAATTGTACCCTAGAAAACCTAGTAAAAGAAATACCAGTTTTAATGGCCTTAAATGTGTAATGTAGGTGATGTCTTGCATTGAGATGTGGAAGTTTTTCTAGCATGGTTATGGACTAGAGAGAACTGATAACATATTGGGATTTTGGAGGAGACATAAACATCAAGTATGTTTTTGGTGAATGCGCTATCTTGTTAGCTTCTTCAGAAGTCAGTCTGCATTGGATGATGAAACATTTAGACATATTATGCAGCCCTATACTATTAGGTTATCTTGAACGAAGATGTCAAAGTAAAATAATAAGAAATAAGGTTAAAGGAAAAAACTCAAGAGTTGTTACTAGATGTTAAATTTTAGATGGGTTCTTTGAATCTACTTCTGTCATATTTTTGAGTATTTCTTCAGAGAATGCTGCTAGCTACAGAATTAATCTGAAAGATTTTATAAGTGAAAGAAGGCAGCAATGTGTGATAGTTTTTATGGAGATGTTGCTTAATTGGCTTTTTCTTCAGTCCCAATATATACATATATTAGTTTTGCTGGCAGGAGGTACATGGTTGAAGAGAAGCTGTTTAGTTCAGACAGCCATGTCTTCTACTTGCAGTTTCCCTCAGTATAGCGCCACATTATGGAGGGTAAACCAGGGTTGAATTGAATTAGGAATTCAGGTGAAGTTCTTATAAAGTGCTCATCTAGGTAACAGTCAGACTTGGCCATTAACAAGGACAATGTTAGAGTTCAAGAATAGAATTTCATAGTTCCCTTATATATCTGAAGCAAAAAGTTATATTTCCATCAGCCCATCATTATTCTAAGTCTCTGCAATAAAAGTCATGACAGAGGAGAGATTATAATTAGGTCACCATAACAGGCACTTGAGCACTTACCTATGTTCCAGACACTGTCACCAAGGCACTGTTTCCATCTAGGGGAGTTCTTTGGTAAGTTCAGTGTGACAAAGTGAGGTAAGCCTACAGCTGTAGCTTTTTGCTCTTTTCTTTAATTTCAGGTTGATCAAGATTAACTGTCTGACTGATGTTTTTCCCCTTTCTCTTTAATGGGGTTGGAGAGTGAATAAAAACTAAGATTTTCTAAGACTTCTGCAAGCCCTAATTCTATACCCTTGAGCCCAACCTTGACATGAGAAGCAAAGTTTTTGAGATATTACTCTGCCTTCAGCATTTATAGGTGGATGGTTCTGTAGACCCCTGGCTCCACTGTGTCTTCAAAGGTATATCAGATTGAGAATAGAGCTCTTACTTGAAAGTCCCAAAGAAGGACCACTGCCATCTCGGGGTTTATATTACTATTTGTTTTGCTTCTATCCAGATTTAGTACTAGTCTCTTCCAGTTTGGAATTCCTGAGAAGTTTGGCTATGGGGCTGAGCTGGGGGAAACACTCCCACCTGTTCAGGATTAGCAATGCCATCAGTCTACCACATTGTAGCTGGTGCCCAGGCTCAACATCAGTCGAGATGCAACATTGGGTCAGACCCAGGAGCTGCAGAGCTTACACTACAGCATCACTGCATTTTTAGCTGTACCTTGGAAGCCACCTCTCTCTCATAGTATAGAAATTCTAAAGGACTTCTCTTTTCTCCATTCCCTTTTCCAAAGTCCGGTAGGGAAGTCCCCTGGTTGCCCCAAAAATAGTTGCCTTTCTACCTATTACCTGGGAAACTGTTGTTTTTGTTTTGTTTTGTTTTTAAATCCAGATGTCAATTGAAAGGACTTAAAAGTTTCCTAAAGGCAAGAAATGTTGAGGTGTTGAATTTTTAAGTAGAATCTCTTTTCATGTTTGAGTGATTATTATTAGTTCAAGCTGCATTTTCTTAGTATTATGACCCAGTTCTGAATGCTTCTGAGTTTTTAAAGGACAAAATTAATGAAATTTGCATGAGATAAAATAAGTATCTTATGAGGAAGAACTAAAGAAGGCATGCAATCCAGAGGGGGACTTAGCAGTCCTATCAGTAACCCAGAGGTTCAAGAAGACAAGGAAATTTATATTCCTTGCCCACTTTTCAAATACACATAAACCGGGTGTGGTGATGCACACCTGTAATCCTAGCTTTCTAGAAAGTTGAAGCATGAGGATCACAAGTTTGAGGCCAGCCTAGGCAACTTAGTGAGACCCCTCTCAAAGTAAAAAGGCACTGAGGATGTATGAAGGCCCTGGGTTTAACCCCCAGTAATACACAGTTTCCATAGATAACACGTCCGAGCTCATAGAAAATACAGTTCATAGGGCTTCCTTTTTCTGAATGTTACTGTATTTTATAGAACAATAATTCCCAATCTTTCTTGAATTTTTTAGATATGCTCTCATTTATTAGATTCTATGGCAGTTCTCTCAAGAATGTACTATATGTGTTATATGTATATATAAGTTAAAGTGACTTGAACTTGATTTGGTTTGACATTGTCTCAAGAATCCTTGATATCGTCATTGATACTACAAGGAGTCAGAAATAAAGTTGAACATCACTGATCAGACTAGAATACAAGTAGCTGCAGCTTTGTTTTCTAGTCAGTTAATCCTCAGGTGTTTGAGTAACCAACCCAGTTAGACTTGACAAATGCTGTGAACCATCCAAGGAAAGTGGTAAATTTGGATCATATTTCAGCATGCATTTTATTTCCTACTCAGTTGTTGCCTTTCATTCAAATACTCTCATCTTGCCCAGTGCAGTATCTTGTTTGGATTTAAAATTAGATCCATCCATTGGAAGAGGTAAGGATTTCCACAGAAGCTGTGTTTTGAGAGTCTCCGTATTCTGTGTAGGGGTATAAAGATTTGTGTATAACCATTCTGTTTATGTTGTTTCCAGTCTTCCAAAGAAAAAAAGTTTTAATCCTCAGTTCATCAGTAGGTTAAATATGGACTCAATGACCACTGTCCTGCAACAACAACAACAAAAAGCTAACTAGTAATGGTTAAATTTTGACTGGTGCTTGACCTTTCTTAGTTATATCAAAATCAACTCAAGCTCATAGCATCATATTTACCTGGATCACACCTGTGAGGAATTTACCTTCTAAATTTATTTTGTTTTTCATCTCCAGGGCCTTAATAAGAGTGTGTTAATACACATGACTATTTTACAGTGATAACTCTAAATAATTTATTTTTTATTTCAAGAAAGAGAAATACACCTTAGAAAAAGAAAACCCAAGATTTTATTTTATTTTTAAAGCCATATTTTTGTGCTAAGTAGCACTTAGATTGTTCCACATGTGAGATCCATATCTGCATTACATTACCTGGGTTTGTTCTAAAGATTTATTTTTGTTCTGTGAATAATTTTTGATGGTTCTTGTACATGTACAAATATAGATACATTTGAGGTCTTTTATTGATATTCCTACAAAGAATACAAATAAACTTTAACTTTAAACATTTCAGACTAAAGTTGCTACTCTATTTGACATGTTACTATCTTCTAGTATGCATCTGGGCACTTATGACCAAAAAAATGTATACAAGAATATTATTCTGACATATTTTAATAGTAAGAATAGCATGTCTTAAAATTACCCAGTTTACAGGTAAAATTTTTTTGCTGTAAGGCAGGTAGTTGGCCTTAACACATTCTGTGTGGAGGGGCTACAGATACAGTTTAGTAGTAGAGCACTTGCCTAGCATACGTGAAGCCCATGGTTTAGTCCCCAGTGCTGGAGTAGGGTCTCATATACCTTCCTAAAGCACTACTGTATTCTCTTAAGATTCTTCAGAGAGATTCATGGGCTTTCTTTCCATAATTTCTGTTGTTTAGTTCAGATGTTTGTCCTTGTTGATCACTCTCGAGGTTTTTGCTCCCACATCCTGCCATCTTCTGCTTATCTGTTTCATCACAAAATCCAAGAATGCAGGCTTAGTATGTAGTTTACTTTTGTGCCAGTTGTAGGTCTGTGCCTTGTGGCATATTTCAAAAATTATTTCTAATCCTGTTCTTTTAGAAATTAACGACACAAAATTTACTAAAAATCCAGAGAAGACCAAGTAATGCAAATTGCTGCAGATCAGTAGAGAAACTGCAAATCAGTAGACATGTACTAATTTTTGTTCACTTCGAGGCCAATCCATTTCAGTCTGAATTTCTCATGACCTAATATAAGCTTTAAGACTTCTTGGATCTGAAACATCAAAAAGAGAAATAGAGCTGATGGTGCAACTTTGTGGTAAAGTGTAAGAACTTGAGATTAGTCCCCAGCACCACTAAAACAACAACAACAACAAAAAAAAAAAACCCTACTGATGCTATCTTATGCCTGTGGTTCTCTAGCTCTTAATTCCCCCCTATATTCATTAGATCTACCCATACCCTTTAGACCTTTAGATCTATCCCTGCCCTTTAGGTCCACCCATTTCTTCCCCCCACCCTCTTAGCCTCCCTCCAGATTTCTGCCCCTTTTCATTAGCACCTTTACCAATAGGAAAGTACATACATACATCAATTTTGTTGGGGGGAGACAAGAGAGAAATGAAATAAAACACATGACCGAATCATGGTTCTCTATCTTGGCTATTCATCAGAATCACTGGAGAGTATAAAGAAAAAAGTAGGGATAGTTCCTAGGCTCTACCACTGAAAAGTTACATAGATAGTCTCTAAGGCCTGAGGCCAGGGTGGGATTTTTTGTTTTTGTTTTTTGTTTTTTGTTTTTTGTATTTAGGGCAGGGCCTACAGGGTCTTGCTATGTAGATCAGACTCATAGCGATCCTCCTGTTTTCAGCCTCCCAAGTGCTGGGATTACAGGTGTGCACCACCTCGCCCAGTCTCAACTGCTGTCTCAGCATGCCCTGGGGATGGGGCTGGCACAGCATGCCAGGGATCCAACCCCAGCCACTGCGCTGTGCCTAAGTAGGTACTTTAGTGTGCTGAGCTATCAGGCCAGCCCTTGGGTTTTTTGTTTTTGTAGGGGTAGTTTGCTATTGTTCGTTAAATATCACTAGTTCTAACTTAGTTTAGAACCACTGGTCTAAATCCAGCTCTTAAGCATTGTGTCTGTTTTACAATGTTTTTTGTCTCTGTTCCTCAAACTGGGAAAAGTTATCTATAGATACTTCTTTGCCTCTTATGTGAAATTTTAATTGCTGCTAAAACTAGTAATATACACCTAACCTTCCCACACATATACTTTGTCCTTACCAGTTCCATTTTGATATTTTATTTTATCTTATTTTATTTTATAATGCACACAGTGAGCCCAGGCCCTAGGACACACTAGGCAAGCACCTACCACTGAGCCATACTCCTAACCTTTTTCTGTTTAATTCTGATACAGTGTCTTGCTAAGTTACCTGAGTTGGGCTCCTTGTCTCTCCTACTTTTAACACCTGAGTAGCTGGGGATACAGGCAGATGCCCCAGTATCCAGGAAAACTCCAGTCTTTAAGTATATGAGGTAGGAACTTTGTCTTCTAACATGGTCATTCCATGTATGGACTAGGTGTAGTCCAGCAAAGTGACCAGAAGGTGGAATGTCGTATTTTAATGCCAGTTTTCCCATTGACTCAAATTTGAGATAGAAGGTATATGGCTTCTGGTTTGATATCCAAAATTTCAATGAAGACATTACCTAAATTGTGCTCATGGGGCCATGCATAATGGCACATGACTAAAATTGCAGGCTCCTGGAAGGCTGAAACAGGAGGATCAAAAGTTTGAGTCCAGCCTGGGCAACTTAATAATTTAGCAAGACATTGCTTCAGAATTTGAAAAGAAAAGGGGCAGGAGTAGGAATGTAGCTTAGTACAATAGTTCAATCCCTCCTACGAGGGAGAGGTGTGCTTATATAGATGAGAACAGAATACAGTGCATGTACCTTAAGGATAAACAACTCAAAAATGATGCTTCCCTAAATGGTGCTTCCCTTTTGTAGCTGTAATACTCAGCAGTATAATTTTAGCCCTTGAAACTTTGCTAAGAAACTTACAAGATGCTGAGTTACATCATTGTTCTTGTTCATTCAGTAGTGAACTACAAAAGCTCTCCAATTCCTTGCTTTGCTCTTGGTCGGTGTGGACTCGCATGCAAACTTGCAGAGGCACACACACCGTCTTCCTAGAAACCTAATCTTGTGAAATTCTAGAATGAATCTCCTTGGGTGCAATTCCTTTGGCGCTGTGAATAAACTGCAGCAAGCTACTAGATAAATGCCAATTTGTTTCCTTTTGTGTAAAGTTATGCTGGACAGATGATCTATAGGACACTCCCTGGCTCGTCTAGCCTATGATTATTACATGACAAAGTTGAGAAATGTGCCCATAGGATACGTTCAGTGGTGAATTTGCAGCTTTTCTCTCAGTGTTTAGAAACAACCTCCTATCCCACAGTACCTAGACCCAGGCATCCTCAACTGCTGTTGTGTGCAGTTGTCAAAGTCCTGTCAGTGCCCACAAATGTTTCCATTTCTTTTTCAAAGTACATGGGAGAAAAGGGGTCTAGAAGAAATGTAAATTCAAAACACCAGAGTAGTAATGTTGATAGTAATAATAGCTAATGTTTATTTAGTACTGACTGCATCAGACAATTTGCTAAGCCTTTATATGGAATACATGATTTAATCATAACACCAGCCATATGAATTATGTATTATCATCATTCCTATTTCATGAGGAAACTAAGACTCAGACTGAATTACTTGTCTGGGTCATATAAAGAATAAGCGGGAAGCCAAATTTAGGTCCTTCTGACTGCTATCTTGACTAAAAAAAAAAAAAAGAAAGAAAGAGCTCAGGAAAATGTTGGAGAGGGTAGAAAAAGATCTGAAAGGATCGTGACACATAACCAACCTGTCACCATGAACCCAAGTGATGGCAGACCAAAATAAACTAATTTTCCAAAGCATTTTCTCTTAATATTATTGTTTTTGATAAAATTGCCTTGCATTGGCAAGTTGTCTGACTGATTGAGATTAGAAGGCAGAAGTTTTACCTCTCTTAAAAATTGTTCTTTCATCTCTTCTGGGTCCATCAGAGTTGAAATGATAAAATCTGCCTTCAAGATTCCAAAAGAGTACTCTGAAAAAGAAAGTGCTACCTGGCTCAAAGGGAAATTACCTGGTGCCACTTGGAACTTGAAGCACTCGGCAGTTAGGA